AAGATCTGCCAGTTAGAACCTGGTGCAAAAGATAGGCAGTTCTGTAATAAAACATTGATATAATAACTGTTTAAGTAAAACAGAGGTAACTATCTTTTTATGTAAATATCTATATCAAAATACCAAACAGTTTTCATTTTAACCGAATAACTTAAGGCAGGAGTTGGGATAATTTGATCACACAATCTTGAACTTCAAAACTCCATGCAAAGTATTGCAGAAAAATCAATAGATCCCAATTTATTTTTTGCCAACTTTCCCATCAAGCAGTATATTAAAAATTAATATTAAAAAAAAGAAATGTAATATGATCAGGTTCTGCACCCAAAACTATTTCTATATTTCATTTGCAGTGTAAAAACTATTATTCTCATAACTTTCCCACATCTAATTTCAGTATGGTCTCTTTCTTTCCCTCAGCACAAAGATTCACTTCATAAAACCGTTTTATGAAAAAAATGTTCCTATATTCATCCTTACCAAAATGGATTGGATCATGAAGTTTTCAAAGTGTACAAATACATCTCATACATCTAGAGCCCCATTCCCAAACTAGCAATACATTCCTGCTATTGTCTACCTCTAAATTTACTAGCTAGGCCAGTGATGGCAAACCTTTTCAGCACTGAGTGCTGAAAAGAAAGTGCGTGCATGCGTGCACCTGGACCTGAACCCAGAAGAGGAGCTGCCCAGGGTGCATGCGTGCACCCAAAAACAAACTTCCGGTTTCAGCTACTGAACTTCTGGTTTCAGCCAGCTACTCTTCCGGGTTTCTGGCATGTATGAGCACGCAACGATCAGCTGGCCAGTGCGCATGCTCACACAGGAAAACAGAAGACCAGCTCTTCTAGTTTCTGGGACTGCCGCATGCAAAGAGGCCAGTTGATCATCGCATGCGCATGCGCACAAGAAACCCGGAAAAGAAACGGGAGACGCCATATGTGCCAGGCGACATGGCTCTATGTGCCACTTCGGGCACACATGCCATAGGTTTGCCATCACAGAGCTAGGCTAATTACACTCATTGTGATATCCCAATTTCAGCAAACCTAATTGGTTATCACAGTCTATACTTTGAACAACTTTATTACATATAATCTTCAATTTACGGCCATAATTGGCCCAAAATTTCCACTGCTAAGCAAAACAGCTGTTAAGTGAGTTTTGCCCCATTTTAAGACCTTTCTTGCTACAGTTGTTAAGTGAATCACTACAGTTGTTAAATAAATCTGGCTTCCCCATTGACTTTGCTTGTCAGGAGGTTGCAAAAGGTGACTCTGGGACATTCTAACTGTCATAAATGCATAGCAGTTGCCAAATATCCCAATTTTGATCACATGACCAAGAGGATGCCACAACAGTCATGTGAAAACATTCATAAATCACTTTTTTCAGTGCCATTGGAATTTCAAATGGTTACTAAACAAAAGGTTGTAAGTCAAGGACTACTTGTAAATACCAATTTGGTGGCCTATAATCAAGATTCAAATCTGTTACTGCCTATATACCTTCGAACTACTGCCCTCATTTATCATGTGCAAACTTCCAAACAAATTATACTTTCCATTCATAACCTTTTAATGCAAAATTGCTGGGCACACATCATCTTTTTCTAGAACTCAACATTCTACTTTACATCTTAATACAGTTTCAAATGCTTTCACATATTCTCACCAAATATTTTGCCACTTCCTGACCCATGCTTATAGCAATATCATCCATTTTTAATATAGATTCACAATATCTTTTCATTTATCCACTGACCCAAAGCATTTTTATTGGAAAGCTTAATTGAAATAAATCATACAATAACTCACAATCCCTCCATGATGAAAGCATTATAAATTATAAGTATTTTACATAGTCAACTAAACTTAACAGAAAAAGTGTTTGATGACTTTGCAGTTCTTGACATACTTTTATCTTTACATTGTATCTATAATTTATACACCTACATTGCTCATGTTGCACTACTTTATATGAATCTTCCTTATCTCTGGATACAATGACTTTTTTTTTACTGTTATACTCATCTTTATTCAGACCACATATCTCTGATTATCTGATTAGCATCACCATCAGGCAAAATTATGAAAGACAAAAGTTACTCCATCCTCATCTAACAGATGTATGCTATACGTTAGGAACAGAAGTCTGCAGATTTATATAGCTAGTCCTCACTAGTACTTATCTTGTGTGCACAAAATACACACAGCACAAAAAGATATATACAGTATATCTCAGACTCTAAAAACCTTCATTCCCTGCTTCTACCATACTAAGACAGTAATTCCCTGCTTGAATAGGTCATTATAACAAAAAATAAAGCTGCATGCGGGGATTAAGATTATGCCCTTGGAGATAGGAACTAGAAAGCAAATATAAAGCAACACACCCAAAGTTAATGTACCAACGGAATTAACCAGTTTAACTCAATTTTCTGCGTTGACTCAATTTTCTACGTTGGTGCACTTTATGGCCAACCCATTAAGCTGAAATTTGTGGTTGAGTGAACCTTGCAGGGGAAAACCTGACAAGACTGTTTCCCATCCTTCGGTCGCCAATCTGCACCCCCACCGAGGTTATAAAAGAAGGAAAAGGGCTACACAACAAGTTCAGCCCAGAGAACGAGGACTAAACCTCCGTGGATGCCCTTGAGCCAAAACGGCTTCGGAGCCTCTTCCCTTCGGTTAAGCGCAGAAGGCCGGCTCCGTGTCGGCGAATACACACGTCCCCCGTGTCCCCTTAAAGCCCAACAGGTAACGAGGGCAGGCATTTCCGTCCGTCACGAAGCCACGCCAGGGCAGAAGGCTGAAACCCCGTTGCAAACTCCCAAGCCCAGCATCCCCGGGCGCCCCCCACCACTACCCCAGTTTCGCAGAGACGTCCTCCCTCTCGTCCAACCCGACCCTGAGGCCACCACGCCGAAGGCCTTTTCGCGGGTAGCGAAGCAGCAGCAGTTACTGCTGAAGGGGAAAGCGCCCCGCTAGGGGCATCCGAGCCCGCCCTGCTTTTCCTTCCCTTCTTCCTCCCTCCCCGATCCGCACCGGTATTGTACACGTGCAGCTCATCGGCGATGCCTTCGTTGCCGCCGCCGAAGATGATGACCAGCTCGCGGATCGCCACGGCGCGATGGCCATGCCGGGATCTGGGGACCGGCCCCGTGAAAGAAGAAACGCGCTTCCAATTCAGGACAGCGGCGCCTGCCGCCATTTTATCCGCCCACGCCCACAATGCACCGCGGCGGGGCCTGAGGCAGCTGCTGGGGAGTTTGGCGAGGAAACCGAGCTGGGACGGGCCGGCCTGGGGAAAAAGTGCGTGGAATGAAGCTGTGAGAAGGAGAAGGAAAAGGAGGAGAAGAAGATGATACTTGGCTGATACCTAGGACGCTGGCAGCAACCCGTATCAACCATTAGGAATAGTCACTCGTATTTGTGACAAATTTTTAAATGTTCAGTTGACTGAGTTTCATGTTTAATGAATAAAAGAGATAATAATGATAATAATAATAATAGTAATAGTAGTAGTAGTAGTAGTAGTAGTAGTAGTAGTAATAATAATAATAATAATAATAATAATAATAATAATAATAATAATAATAATACCAGGAGATGCCAGAGCTGAAGAAAAAGAACTGGAAATAATCATGAAATATCGTGACCTGGCCATCGAAACTACACGGATATGGATGAAACATGTAACCGTGATACCCATTGTCATCAGGGCACTTGGTACCATGTCCAAGAATTTTATAATATACATCAGCAAATTGCAGCTTCCTGCAATAACACCAGCGGAACTGCAAAAAAACGCGCTACTTGGAACATCATACATCTTAAGAAGGTACTTGGTTGATAACTAGGATGCTGGCAGCACCCGGTATCAACCATTAGCACCAGTCAATGGTATTTGTGATGCATTTTTTAATGTTCAGTTGACTGAGTTTCATATTTAATAAATGTTGTGTTCCAAAGTATTCGAAAAGTCTCACAAGAAAATGAGGTGGTGAAGATCTTGTGGGACTTTCAAATATAGACGGATCGTCACTTGGAACATAACACGCCAGATATCACAGTTGTCAAAAATCGAAACATACAATTTATTGACATAAATTGATACCAGGAGATACCAGAGTCGAAGAAAAGAACTGGAAAAAAATCACAAAATATCATGACCTAGCCATCGAAACTACACGGTTATGGAACATGCAACAGTGATACCCATTGTCATTGGGGCCCTTGGTACCATGTCCAAAAATTTTCCAAAACGCATCAAATTGCAATAACACCAGCGGAACTGCAAAAAGCTGCGTTAGTCAGAACATCATATATTTTAAGAAGATACTTGGTTGATATCTAGGACGCTGGCAGCAATTCGTATCAACCATTAGCACCAGTCAATCGTATTTGTAACACATTTTTAAATGTTTAGTTGACTGAGTTTTGTGTTTAATGAATATAATAATAATAATAATAATAATAATAATAATAATAATAATAATAATAATATGGCCGACCATAATAATAATAATTAGAACATCTTGCATCCTGCGAGGATACCTTTAACACCATCAAACAATGAGTTTGTTGGGAAGGTCACAAAATGGTCACAATTTGTCTGCAGTTTTGTGAATATGCTTCTCGGTATCAGCTAAGCAGAAAATGAATGCTAATCCTAAATTTCTTTGAGATGTTATCTGAGGGCAAGGTCTTGGTATGAATAGATTATTTGGCAACTGTTGTACCCTAAAGGTACTATGTTAAATTACTCAACCTTCTTGAGTACTTGCACAATTGCCATTCATTGCTTCTACTGAGGAAGAGCAAAATGGTTATAAGCTAATCTATCTGGAGATGTAAAAAAACCATTCAGATTCAAGATTTAAGGCATCATTTACCCATCATTAGCCACAGTGGTGCAGTGGTTAGAGTGCTGTACTGCAGGCTACTTCTGCTGACGGCCGGGCTGCCTGCAATTTGACAGTTCAAATCTCACAAGGTTCAAGGTTGACTCAGCCTTCCATCCTCACAAGGTGGGTAAATGAGGACCCAGACCCTGAAAAAGGACATAATGCAGTTTTCCTATCACTTCATAAATGCAGATGTACATGGAGATATGAAATCTGGGTTGCAAAAACCGAGTCAATCACCAGAAGGCAACAGTTTTCCTGTAATTATACTATACATGTTGCATCAAGATGTTTTCAGGGTGATTGAGCTCATTTCTGTAAGCAAACATCACAACAGGAAGTATGTCTAATCCATCTAGTCTGGACTCTAAAATCTGTATCTTTTTGCCCTTACTTTAGCATTTGTCATTGGTGTAGTGTGGCCTTAGAGGTAGCTTAGGTGCATTGGAGGTTGTACCTTGAGGGAGACACACAGCTCTGGCTAAAAAATGGTGCTCAAAATACCACCACACATATGTGCCTGAGGACCTGTCCAAATAGTGATGGATGCCAGCCAGCATCATATGCCTTTAGCTGAAGACTAGATTGGTTCCTGGGAGTGCAAAATTGTGCCTTTAACACATGCATCTGCACACTACCATACAATACAAACATTGCTCTATATTATTTAGAACAGCAGCCTTCAATCTTTCTGGCACTAAGGAATTGGTTTCGGAAGAAAAATTGTCTTCCACCGATGGAGGTTGTAATGAGTGTTTGACACATAAGCTAGATCCCATGCATGCACAGCTGAAGCTTTGCTCATTCACCTGCAGCTTGCATGACCCAGTTCTTTACAGGCCACAGACTGGTACTGGTTCATGAACCAGGAGTTAGGGACCCCTAATTTAGGGGACATATGCTAAACATTGGCATTTTTAAGAGACTGCAAGGCCATGTCATATAGGGGGCCAAATTGACTAAACCAATGTTTATGTATTCATTTGAAATGATACAGCTTCCCATTAAACATCTTTGAAAAATTATTTAAACTTATTAACATATTTTAATCTTGCATTTCTAGTTTAGTAACATATTTTAATCTTTTCTTTCTAAATTAATAGACCTACCATGGGTCCACTCCACAGTCTAAAATCCAATACTTTCTTAACTGTTAAAACCACAACAGAAGTAAAAAGAAGAGTAAATATCTTGAACTGAGCTCAGAAATAAACAATCATTAATGAGTGTACACACACACACACACACACACACACACACACACACACACACACCCTGATAATAAGCCCAATCAAGCTTTTGAGTGCATGGCAATAAGGCCAAGTGCTTATTTCAGGGTTCAGAAAAATATAAGACAGCAAGATAGCCATTTTTGTCATCGGGATGTCTTAAAACTCTTTTTTAAAATGTTATTTTCAAAAGGGGGATGATCATGAAGTATCTGCATGGGGGTGGAAATTTTAAAAAGTCAAAATGTTTTTTGTGATTGTATCTTTAAATCTCTTTTTTAACTTGTGACACATGTAAAAAGGGGCCTGAACTGACATACTGCCTCCCCGTGGATGCCCCTGAGTGTTTCCCACTGATAGATTGTAGGTCTGCTCTCATCTTTAATGACCTCTTGAAATATTCAGAGCGCAGAGCTGAAATATATTCTGTATGACTTTTCCGCAACTATACTTTAACATTATAGGGTGAACATTGCCCTGTATCTTCTAAAAGATGCAGAACCTGTAATTATTTTTTCAGTGCAAACACAGACTGGGGTTATTATTTTAGATAAAATAGGGGGTTTTCTACAGTTACTCATTTTTCATGCTTATAAATTTATAGATGCTTCTTTGTTCACGATGATCTGAAATATACACAACATTTTAAAACAAAATCTAAACTTGAGCTCTTCCTACAATCTTTTCCCTCCTGTCTCTGGAATTTTCTTTCTGATGAAAAACTAGGGTGGGAGGAGGAAAGTTCACCAATTCTGGAGCTGCCTTATTCACCACATCTGGAAGCAGTTTACTTATGTAGCTCTCTCATTCCAACAGGCCCGAGTCTGGATTCTGTACAGTTCCGTAATCACGGAGAAAGGAAGGAAAAAAGTAATTTCCAAGTAAAACACCGAAGATTTTTTTAAAAAACAATTCTGCCTCAAATTAGTTTTGAAGAAACTAAAAAGGACCTTGAAGTATCTCGCATGTAGGATTTCAGTGGGAATCCCAGGAGAAAAGTGGTTCTGACATGAATGTTTATTACACTGAATCAGCCAGCTACCCACAGCAACTGCTTGCTTGAAGTTATTTTTCTGGAGAAAAAAAATCCACACTTGCTCTGCTGTTGCCTTGAAAGGTAAAACTTTGAATTTTATTGGAAATGGAGTATTTACAGTTTTCTTTTCTTACTATTGTGTCTAGAGTTTGTCAGCCTTTAGGGGAAAAAATCCCAAGTATTGAAATGTCAGCAAAGTACTGAGCTAATAAAATGAAAACTCTAGTTTTGTTCTTAAATTCTCTTCATTAAGTAAAAGTGGGCATTAGAAATTTCTGGTTATAGATATAATTATTATCTGTTTACAGAAAGTTTTGCATTCACTTTGATTTGCATTTGAACTTTGCATGATGGTTGAAAAGCAAAAACATGTGTCTTATGTGTACCAGAAATGAAAGAAATTAATTCTTTGTGTGTGGAATGAATGATTAGATTATGAGTATGTTTGCTATATTGAGAACTAGACCCTAAATGTAAAATCTCTGTGAATGTCATTTAATATTATTAGTATTACTTAATGGATTTATTATCAAATACTAATTTCTTAGGTTGTTACAAAACCTAAAAAAATATGACAAGATCTAACAGTATTACTTAGTTGACAATATGGAATTATAAAAATGTTTAGGTTAAAATCACCATTATGATAATGGCCTATATTTAATTTTCATAGTTCTCATGATTTTCTTGCTAATACTATGGCAAAATAATGCTTACCTTTTCTTTACTTTACTAACTACTCTTCAGTATTATGTTATGTAGAACACTGAAATTTATTTAAATACAAACGTGAGTTAGTTTTCTTAAGATGATTGAGGGAGAGTACTATAAATTGGAGGCAAAGTTAAAGTTTGCTATTTACAGTATTTTATAGTATAAAACAGTGTTTCTCAACCTTAGCAACTTTAAGATGTCCATGCTGGCTGGAGAATTCTGGGAGTTGAAGTCCACACATCTTAAATTTGTCAAGGTTGGAATACATTAGTATAAAGAACGGCGAGAGACAGCTCTTCATTTATGTAGATGTACCTGTAGCTACAGTAGTTAGCAGACAGAATATATACGCTTGCTTCTTCATTGTTAGTTGTTAATTGTTGAAGAGAGAGAAATAAACAAAAAAAAAGTAGAAAGTGTTGAATAAATTATGGTGGAGTGCAATAAGAAAGAAACTGCATCCCTTCAAGCTTTGTTCACATATTTCAGGTTCAAACACACCAGTATAGACCTGTAGAGGTCTCAGTATACCTATGGTAGATTTGATATTTTTGTTATGTTTTAACTTTCTGATTTTTTTCCTCTTATTTCACCCACAGGTTGCAACCAAATGAAAGGGCCATATGGCTTTATTACGAAAAAGTAAGACATCTTCAGAAAAAAATAGTGTAATTTAAGAGTCCATATCTTTTTTTTTTTGCTCTTAGGGATTTTTATAACTTTGTTGCTTGTATCCTTACGATTTATATTAATTGTTTCCTAGTATGATTTGATTGCTTATTTGTATCCTATGACTATCATTAAGTGTTGTACCTTTTGATTCTTGATGAATATATCTTTTCTTTTTATTACACTGAATGCATATGTGTTGTGACCTAGGCCCAAGTAGTTATTACCAGACACAAATCAGTCCTAAACAAACATATTTTATTAGAACAGCTGAGAATTACTTCATTCTCAGCTTAGTCCACATCAAGTCCAAAACAAATTCTTCATAAACAGTCTTTGGCCTTATCACCAACCTTTGACTACTTTGGCATCCTGCCAAAGGCTTTTCTTGGCAAAAGTTCAGAAGCAAGAGATGCTGACAAGAACAAATATAGCAATGTTGCAAGAGCTGTTGCTGCTCTTCTAAGCCTTCTGGGAGGGGCCAATCATCTCCTGGCCTTGCTCCCAAGTTGTCCCTTTTGCTTTAGCTGCTCTTGCCTTCTGGCAGCTCTTCACATGTGTGCACTAGGAACAGGCTCCTCCTGTTCCTCTGCCTCTCTGCTATTTGCCTCTGGAGGTTCCGGAGTCCGCGCATCGCTCCCAGATGGCCAGGGCCCCATCTCTGCCTCCGATGCAGAGCCCTCGTCCGGGCCTTCCCCTGACTCCAGGACTGGCCCCATTATCCTCCCCAGCCTCCTCACTGTCCGACTCTGCTGCCAGCTCTGCAGGCTGCTGGCAGACCACAACAATATGCACCAAAGACAAATTCCTTGTGTGTCCAATCACACTTGGCCAATAAAGAATTCTATTCTATTCTATTTTGTAAACATGTAATGAGCACTCTTGTAAAATGGCTGTGGGAAGGGGACTTTCCCATCCCACAAGATAGCTTCTATTGAGGGCAGAGCCAGTTATACAGATGTATCAAAATGTTGTCTTCTCTAGCCCACCCCGCCTTCCATAAAATGCATGGTCCTACATTTCTGAACTTTTGTAATGGAAAAGAAATGCACTTACAACCAATACGCTGGGGTGCCCAATCCTTTGTTTGTATTTTCTAAAATTAATACATATAATTGGAGCTATGAAAATAATGTTTTATGCACTATATTGGTGATCCTTAGGTTCCATGTTTAAAACTGAAGTCTTCAGAGGAAGTCAGTGCTTCCATGCAAATTGGTAAAAATGAGCAGTTTACATATATGCTTGCTGTAATTGGTGGCTAAACATTAGAAGTGAGAATATAGAGTGAGCTGCAGAAAAGAAAGCAAGATAAGTCTAATATTATATGACAAGAGCAAAGATCAGATGCTGTTAGATGTTACTCCATTACTATTCTGAAGCTTTTGGAGGCATGTTCTTGATCACTTGTAAGAAGTTTCTGCCTTCTTACAAGTAGTCCTTGACTTATGACCGGTTGTTTAATGACTGTGCAAACTTATGATGGACCCCCCCTCCCCCAAAGTTTCTTATGATCCAGTTTTGAAATTTTGACATGGGGTCATTATGGGTGCTTGGCAATGGGCCCCATGATCACATCATCATAATTTATGTGGTTTTACCAGAAACTCGCATTTACTTCCGGTTTATGAAAAAAAACTGGTGCATTGCAAACAATGGGTTTGCTTAACGACTGACACATTCACTTATTGAACACAGCAAAAAAGGTTGCAAAACTGGCTTCAGTCATGTGATGACCTGGTTTACACCTATCACAACTAACAACCATAACCTGGCTCAATTACGGTCATAATTTGAGGGCTACTGTAAGAGGTGATCAAATCTTAGCATTTCATTCTGCCGTTTAGGGGTGTTTTTTAATCGCTCCAAAGGCAACAAGAGACACATTAGCTTGCCAAATTACTGTGCCTCTTGTTGCCTTTGGGGCTATTAAAAAACACCCCTAAATGTCAGAATTTCCAAGGCAAAAATCATCAGCATTTGAGGATGTTGACAAGGGTAAGAGATAAGAAACATGTTTACTGAAGAGTTTTTCTTTGGAATATTTTAAAAGAGAATTGCTTGAATAGTCCAGGAAGAAGGTGTTGGAGATTTGAATTCAGTAAAAAGCTCTTGAAGTTAAGCAAACTGCTGAAAGTATACTAAGTAACTGGGTACCATTGAAAAAAAAAGATAAATATTCATAATCTCGTTTCCTTGGTTGCAGAGAATAGCTGTAACTATAATGAATGCTAATAAACATTACGTAATACTTAATGAATTCATTATGAATACTAATATATATTACATAACGCACATTATTACAATGTACCTTTATTTGAAGTAAAGGTAGATTCATTAGGACATACTAATGTAGAAATGCCTCATTTTTATCTAAACTACATTTTGCAGAGAGAAAAACAGAAGAGTGAGACAAGAAGTTAGTTAAATGGGTTTGTGTTTAAAAGAGACCCATTCAACTAACTTCTTGTCTCACTCTTAACTAATTTAATTAACAATAGGCCATGTGGGAGAAAAACACAAAGACAGAATGTGAAGGCCCTTCTTCTTAGCCATCTCTCACCATTGTTGTTGTCAAAATAGCCACATAGGTACAAAGCTACAGAGATGCAATTGTTGAACAGAAGCAACTTTCCCATTCACTTGCCTTTGATGTCTGGCAATTGTTTTTCTGATATCACTTAAAATTCTGTATAGAAGTAAAACTGTTGGTAACACATAGGCACCCTGCTTCCAAGGCAATTATTTAGAATTTTAATTCAACACTTTGGGCAAGGTGGCATTTTAAATTGTGATAAGAGAAGGGGATTTAGTGTGTGGGAAAAATAGACTTGGAAAGCTACACATACGCAGACACGCACACACACATATATCTCCTTATCCTTTCCCTACTTATAGTAGTGTCCTTTAGAAATATATTTTCTGCTAAAATATAGTGCAGGAATTAAAAAAAATGTACATGTTAAGACTTGACATGTAGCTAATTTAGTATTTTTTAAAAAACTGAGATCTATAAATAATTCTAGTGGAATTAATTGGATTTCCGAGTCAGATTCAAATTGTCCTCGTCCTTAAAGTTCCTATGACAAAATTACAATCAGATGTTGATTGTATGATGGTAAACTGTGTAAGGAGCTCTCACTTTTGGCGTCATCAATACTTTCATTTAATCCCATGGTATTTACATATGAATAGAAATAATTTCATGGGAAAATGTTTAAGTTTATAACATGTAGAAATTTATCTTCAGTTAGAGATTCATTGAAATATAATGCAGTGTTTGTAGCCAAGTGTACATAATAAATTATGCAGTTAAGATATAAAGTTAAAATCCAATTGCATTTATTAATTAGTAAGGGAGCATATTAATGAAAATATTTGCTGCAGATTATGTATATGTGATTGATTGAACTGCTTTCTTTATGTTTCAGTTAATCAGATCCTACTCTTCCTTCTTGTTTTGACTCTCTGTGTTATTCTGTATAATAAAGTTCAAAAGATGCCATCTGCTATTCTGAATAATGAATCTAGTAAGCACCTATTTTTATTTTTTATGTTATTGAGACCGCATATGCTTTGTTGGTAGCACTATAACCCATATTAAAATTACCTTTCAAACTACTACAGAAAGAGCCTCGTAATTAGAGCTGCTTTGACTTTCTTTTAGTAACGCCTCTAAACATTTTGTACATCTTGATGGTTACTGACTTTGCAGACTGAGAATTATAGCACATGACACGGTGGCTCAGTGGCTAAGACGCTGAGCTTGTTGATCAAAAGGTCGGCAGTTCAGCGATTTGAATCTCTAGTGCCATGTAACGGGGTGAGCTCCCGTTACTTGTCCCAGGTTCTGCCAACCTTGCAGTTCGAAAGCATGTAAAAAATGCAAGTAGAAAAATAGGGATGACCTTTGGTGGGAAGGTAACACGTTCCGTGCGCCTTTGGCATTTAGTCATGCCGGCCACATGACCACGGAGACGTCTTCGGATAGCGCTGGCTCTTCAGCTTTGAAACGGAGATGAGCACCGTCCCCTAGAGTCGGGAACGACTAGCACATATGTGCGATGGGGAACCTTTACCTTAGTGCCTACAACTGGTTGAAAAAGGCTTGTATCATTAAAGGCTGCATGTAAAACCTGTGGGGTAGGGTAGGCGTAACAGAAGGAATATGGAACTAGGAACAGATACGTGAGCTTGCATAAGAAACACAGGACCATTTAATGTAATTAACAGAGACTTAGAAGTATATTAGCTTTCAACAAATTCTCAACTCATTCAGAGGCTTTTGTAAAATGCTTATTGCTTAATGCAACAGAACTAAATAACTTGCAATATATATGATAATTTGTGTTTCTTCTACTGCCGTTACTACTCTCATTGCTATTACTTACTCTCACTATTAGTTGATTTGGAGAGCGTAGAGGAGATGGAAGAAGAAATTCCAGTTGTGCTATGTGCTCCTGCAGGCAGAATGGGCGCAACAATAGCTGCAATCAACAGCATTTATACCAACACGGATTCAAATGTCTTGTTCTACATAGTTGGGATAAAGAGCAGCATTCCACATATCAGGTAAAATCACACAGTGCTGTAATATAAGTGAGTGAAAGTATAATCCCTTATCCAGGGAGGATTGAATGCTACATATTTATTTATTTATTTGCAATATACACAATGCACTGGGCAATCTATCAGCCCATTAAAACAAATTTACAGTGTTTTTCAGCCTTGGCAACTTTAAGATGTCTGGACTTCAGTTCCCAGAATTCCCCAGCTAGAAGTTCCTTAGCCAATATCTGAGAGTTGAAGTCCACACATCTTAAAGTTGTCATGGTTGAGAAACACTGTAATGGATAATAATATCAATAAGCCAACATAAAACCAAACAGCAACATTATTAAAGTAAAAATCTTCATTAGGTATCAATGCCAGGAATTGATCTGCTGTGATGAACTAGTGTCGGAATAATTATAATTGGGCAGAAGTATAGGTTTAGCAAGGGACACGGTGGCTCAGTGGCTAAAACGCTGAGGTTGTTGATCGAAAGGTCGGCAGTTCAGCGGTTTGAATCCCTAGTGCCATGTAACAGGGTGAGCTCCCGTTACTTGTCCCAGCTTCTGCCAATCTAGCAGTTTGAAAGCACGTTAAAAATGCAAGTAGAAAAATAGGGACCATCTTTGGTGGGAAGGTAACAGCATTCCATGCGCCTTTGGCGTTTAGTCATGCCGGCCACATGACCACGGAGATGTCTTCGGACAGCGCTGGCTCTTTGGATTAGAAACGGAGATGAGCACTGCCCCCTAGAGCCAGGAACGACTAGCACATATGTGCGAGGGGAACCTTTACCTTTACCTTATAGGTTTAGCACAGCTGGGCCAGTGGAGGACACGGACTGATTAGGTGGGAAAGGATAGTGAAGGACTCTCTAAGAGGGCTTCCAGACAAGAGGCCACCTAGGCTACTTCACCCAAATATACAGTATTACAGCATACAGTTCTCTTTCCTTTATATATTATTTTTCTACAAACAAAACGTGGGAGGAAAATGGTGGGAACAAACAGGGGCATTATTTTTAAAAAGTGTTTGTAGTAAAATTCTATAAAGCCTTATCTGGAAAGGGTGCTTTTAGTATGGCTTTGTTGTGTAATTATTCTCCGATATTTACAGAATTTTACCTATTGTGTCTTTAATGTGTAACCATCCCTGTAAGGTAGCTGTCTAGAAGTCACCAGAGGCTTGTATTGAATGATTGAAAGTTTCTCCTGGCAAAAACTCAAGACTTATTCTTCCCTTTGCTCTTTCTTTTCAAATTTGTTTTTTTGGTACAGCTTTGAAGCTACAATTCCCTTGTATCATGAATCAATGTTTGAGACTATTGGATTACAAAGCCTTAAGCCACTACTAGAATTTCCGATACTAAACACTAAAATTACTAATTAAGGCCACTAAATACAATAATTAAAACTAAATAAAAGTAACTTAAATTAAAAGTTACTGGAGGAGGCTGAGTGGCGTAGGCTAATGCCTCCTACTAAGGCAGCATTTAACATCCAGCTGCCTGCAATTACTGCAAGTTCAATTCTCACCAGGCTCAAGGTCGACTCAGCCTTCCATCCTTTCTAAGGTGGGTAAAATGAGGACCCGGTTTGTGGGGGCAATAAGCTGACTTTGTATAAAATATACAAAAGTATGAAGGCTATTGCTTAACGCATTGTAAGCCGCCCTGAGTCTCTGGAGAAGGGCGGCATATAAAAATTAAAAAAAATAATAAAAAAAAAGTTAAGAGCTCACTAAAAAAAGTTGTTCCTCTGTGTAACCAGCCCACTTTTTCTGTCTTTTGTCTTTTTATTCAGTACTGTAAACATCAGTTTGGGAGGGGAAAACTGAACAGCTCACTGTGTTATTTGATCCCTAGCTCAAGGCATCATCCATCTGGAAGCTTTCTTTTTAGTTGAAAGAACACGAAGTTGTTGGGTCATTACTATATTTCAGATGCTAATGTGTATTCACACAATTCAAATGATTTCTAAAACTTAATGCACTAATAAGCAATTAGAGCAAGTGGCCAATTTAAATTGCATATGGAGTTTTATCTTATGGAAAGTTTATCTTAGTAAACTGGAAAGTTAAGAAACATTAGATGATTAACAAATGTCATATAAAGTATTCAGAAAAATCTCTCATTTTATAGTGTTAATAATAATAACAAGGTACAATTTGCTACTACACAAAGTCCATGACTTTGTGTACCTCGGCTCAACTATCTCTGATATTCTCTCTGTAGATACTGAGCTGAATAAACATATTGGTAAAGCGGCCACCACATTTTCCAGACTTACAAAGAGAGCATGGCTTAATAAGAAGCTGACGGAACATACAAAGATCCTGTGTCCTGAGCACACTCTTGTACTGCAGTGAGTCTTGGACCCTTTATGCATGGCAGGAGAGAAAGTTGAACACCTTTCATATGCACTGTCTCTGACGTATTCTTGGCATCACCTGTCAGGACAAAGTTACAAATAGAGCAGTCTTGGAACGTGCTGGAATTTCTAGCATGTATATATTATTGAAACAGCGACGTCTACGCTGGCTTGGGCATGTAATGAGAATGGCTGATGGTCGGATTCCGAAAGATCTCCTGTATGGAGAATTAGTGCAAGGAAAGCGCCTCAGAGGGAAACCACAGCTGCCATATAAGGATATCTGCAAGAGGGACCTAAAGGCCCTGGGAATGGACATTAACAACTGGGAAACCTTGATCTCCGATCGTTCAGCTTGGAGGCTAAAGACACAGCATGGCCTTCTCCAATTCGAAGAGACACTTCTTCGGCAGGCTGAGGCAAAGAGGCAGTCCCGGACCCAGCGAAATCTGGGGGCTGGGCAGGGGACAGAATGTATCTGCCCTCAGTGTGGAAGGGATTGCCACTCTCGAATTGGCCTTTTTAGTCACACTAGATGCTGTTTTAGGACCTCTTTCCAGAGCACGATACCATAGTCTTTTGAGACTGAAGGATGCCAATGAATGAATGAATGATGACAATTTGCTACTTAGGCTGTGAGCAATATTCAGTTAGAGAAAAGCTATAATGCTCAGACCAAGGTTTATGAAATGAAAGAATAATAGCAACTATTTACCACTCTATATTTATTGCTATATAAACCTAACATGCTTCTATTTGTTCTGCATTTCAGGCAGTGGATTGAAAACTCTAAACTGAAAGATATCAAGTTTAAAATTGTGGAATTCAATCCTATGGTACTTAAAGGGAAAATCAGACCAGACGCAACACGTCCTGAATTACTTCAGCCTGTGAGTATGCAAAACTTCCTTTATTAGATAAACCTATGAAAGAAGGGAGGTATATAATTTAAAGTTCATGAAACTGCGTATGCTAATGTAGTCTCAAAGATTTCTAACAATTCATATTAAAATGTAATTTTAAATGTGTAAATAAGGAAAAATTATAAATTTTAAAACATGCCACAAACCTTAGTTCTAGCAGTGTATTCTTCAACAGTTTTACTACAGACTGGGATGAGGAGAAATAAATGCCAATCAGATTTGCTGATGATGCAGAATTGAGTAAGGGAGCTAATAGGATTAGGTTGGCACTTCATATTTAAGATAAAAAATGTGTGTGAGTGAATAGAGCACCTGATTGCAACTGTTTAAAGCAACTGTGGCTTTTTTGCATTATAATTTATTTTATTTATTTAGAAAATTTATATTGCCACCTATTCGACATGGCGACTCAAGGCGGCTCTCATAAACTTATCATAAAACTTATTATGTGTCAGTATTGATATGATTGCTAAAAATACAAATGCCACCTTAGGCATTTGTACATACTAAACATATAATTGCAAAATCAGAGGAAGTAATAATTCCACCCAACTTTGCATTGGTCAGACCCAACCTTGAGTATAAGTGCAGTTCAGAGCATTTTTTTTCAGGATTCAGATAAACTGAAATAGGTTTAGAGAAGGGCAATAAGGATGTCCAAGGAGTTAGAAACTGAAAATAATTTGAGGGCTCTGGGAATAAGAAGACTGAGGGGATATAACACCACCCTTTAATTAGTTGGGAAAAAATACATCAATAGAATTACACTGAAATATAGAAACCAAAGATCAAGCAATTTTTTAAAAAGATTTTTTATTGTGCCTGTATTGTCATTATAGGCAGCGAACATATCTAATACTCCTTTCTCCTCCTATTTTCCTCACAACAACCTTGTGAGGTGAGTTGGGCTAAGACAGTGTGACCAGCCCAAAGATATCCAGCTGGCTTTCATGCCTAAGATAAGAGTAGAACTCCCATACTCTTGATTTCTAGCCTGGTGCCTTAACCACTAGAACCAAACTAGCCTTCAGTTCTCATCTTTCATCTTTCCAAATGCAGGATATGAAATAATGGATTTGTTAGAGAAAAGCAGGTTCCGCTTGAATGCTAGAAAAATTGTTTGGGGGCTATGAAAGTTGAATACATTTGAAGGGTCCTGAAATTCTCTTTATTTTTCTTGGCAAAAATGGCTGTCAATAGGGATATGTTCAGATAATCTCCCAAACACTAGAGATGGTAGATTTCAGTAGATCAAAGAAGAGAAAAAGAGAACAAGACTAGCAACAGCAGATTTACATTATATTTTTTGTTGACAACATGCAAATATATACGCAACCAAAATTCCACTGGTGTACATTATATGGTTGTTTGCTTGTTTGTGGTGGAGGTTAGACATATTATTGTGTGAAAGATAGATGTTTACATTAAATAATACTATCTAATAAACTAGATACAAAGAATTTTTATTGTCTACTTTGTTAATATTTTTTTAAAACATTCAACAGCTAAACTTTGTTCGATTTTACCTCCCTCTACTTACCCATGAACATGAAAAAGTGATTTATCTTGATGATGATGTGATTGTACAAGGTAAGTGATTAAAAAAAATCCAGTTTTTTCCTAATAGTCTTTCCAAAATATTTATGTCATTGTTACAACTTTGCTCTGCCTTATACATCTGAATGTTTGAAAGTAGTTGCAAGGATCTTATAATGAAATTCCTAGAGGCTTTTTAAGTGTTATATCAGAATATATAAAGGCAATTGATAATAATATTTCTCTAGAGAGGAAACAACCTTGCTTTTTCTGTAGGAGACATCCAAGATCTATATGATACGAAGTTAACCCGAGGACATGCTGCAGCTTTTTCAGATGACTGTGATCTACCTTCAACTCATGAAATGGTTAGAAGTGTAGGAATGCAGGTAAAAAAAAAAAAAATCTAAAACATATTATTTGATTAGGTGGTGGTAGGGGGATTATATTTGTCCTTTCTTAAAAAAGCCTTAACCCTAGGTTAGAGGTTTAGTAGAGTTGGCTTATATTTGGATGAGAGGCCTCCAGGAATACAAGGCTGTAGGATATGTTGGGATAGTGAAAAAATAATAAAACTATCTTGGAAGAACTTCTGTAGAGATGCCCAGAAATCTACATAGATTATTCAAGAGTCAAACATGAGATGTATTTTTAGTGCAGGAATGTGGAATGAGGAATTAACTAGTTAATTTGTTTTGTTTTGTTTTCTGCTTCATTAATACTATAAGGGAAGGAAGTTGAGGCAGAAAAGACCTCTATAAACAGACTTGAGATTTTTAATGAATGCTGCCTGCTTTTAAAGGTTTATAAATGTGACATCTCCCCTCAATTTAAAACAGACTAGGGTCTTCAGTACCATTGGAAGAACTGAAGGACCAGGTTAGGAACAAATCATCAAGGAGAATACTGACACAGACTTGATGACACAGCATAAATAAATTAGACTTTTCAAACCATCATATTTAATAGGATCATTTCAACCAGGCAGCATATCCTATGTACTATTAAAAGGTATTATATATTCAAATCTCTTTGCTGTGGATGATCAGTAACTGTTTCCATGGATGTGCCCTCTATTTCTCTGTGAGAGAAACTGTGAGATAGGTTGAGTATAAGTATAATTGACCATGTGCTATCGTATTTCTGCTCTATCTGCTCTTCTGAATACTAAATAGAAACGATTTATACCTCCCAAAGTGGCCAGCAAATTTTAATATACTTGTTATTGAAAAGGGGAACTAAATACATGGAAATAATATAAATTGCATAACATAAACATAACCTTATTAAATCAAAATGGATTTTTGTCCTAGTCACATCTTTTTTTTTTAATTCTTAGCCCATATTAGTAGTAAAAGGCATCTGATCTCTGTCCCCATAGCTCCTACCAATTGTGCACACATAGTTTTGAGATTTCATATATTCCTTTCTTCCCTAGAACACTTATATGGGCTTCCTGGACTATCGAAAACAAACAATCCGAGATCTTGGTATAAGTCCCAGCACCTGTACATTTAATCCTGGTGTCATTGTGGCCAACATGACAGAATGGAAGCACCAACGCATCACAAAGCAGTTAGAAAAATGGATGCAGAAAAATGTAGCGTATGTACCAATAGTCTTCTATTAGCAGGAACTGATTGCCCATTGAGTTTATTTGGTAATATACCGGTGATGATTGTAAAAACGCACACCATATTTATTTTATCCTGCTCTATGAACAATCAGACTCCTACCACAAAGACTAACGTGGTATCAATACTCCCTGGAATGTGTTTAATTTGCACTAGCCCAAAAGTGATTCTCACTACAGCATTATATTAGTGTTTGAACTAAGTATGTGAACAATATTGCATATTTTTGAAGGATGTATTTAGTATAGCAAACCAATAGTTTGATCAGTTTCTGATGATGCTCAGATTAAAAACAAAAAAGCCAATTTTTAAGCTAAAGAAGTTGAGTTTACCTAGAAGTGGAAGTGTGAGGGTGCGTGATTGGCCCAGTCACCTATTGTACTGAGCTTCAAATCGTGTTCTACTTCTCTACAGTTCTAATTGAATTGTATTTTGCTTTATTTACTGCATCCCCATTTAGTAAAATAGCTGTTTTAAAAATAAATCTTCTACCCATTTGACAATCTAAAAAACTTTTTCAGAGAAAATCTATATAGCAGCACTCTTGCAGGAGGTGTGGCCACTTCTCCAATGCTCATTGTTTTCCATGGAAGATATACAACTATTAATCCTTTGTGGCATATTCGACATTTAGGTAAAATTTATTTCTGATAAAGCATGTTTTTATCTTGTTTTATTATATTAAGCTATTTTTTTTAAGAAAAAAGTTTGCACTGTCATATAGCTTAGTTTAAGAATTAAAATGCAAGATATCTTCAACTGAATGTTTATGATCATGTATATTCTGTTGCTGCACTTTACACATATAATATTCAGTACAGTATTCTCTGCAACTAGTAAATTGTGCCACTTTCATAGAAGTACAGAATATTATGTACTTTCGTATAGACACATCAGTTGCTACAAGACAACAATGGAATGTTATTATATCTGCTGAATACAGGTAGTCCTTGATATATTACAGATCATTTAATGAACATTTAAAATTACAACAGATGCCCCCAAATTGCTTATGTCGTTTCAAAATTACAATGGCTGGACCCTGTGGTCATTAAACATTACAGCCAACCACAAGGATGCCGCAGTGTCCCCCCCACCTCTCCATCCATCATTCCATCCTGCTCCTCACATATCTATCACCCACCTTACTTATCTTTTGAAGCTCTCCAGACTTCATGTTGGGGAAGGAGGTAGGCCATGATGTTCCTGGGTCATGTGGTGGCAACCTGAATAAGGCCATTTTGTCCCGCCTGCTTGTGGGTGGGGACAAAATGGTGGCTGTCAGACAAACCGCTTTGTTTTGCTGCCTTACAAGGTCTGCAGTGTTGCAGAAGCTTCTGAAAGCTGCAAGATGCTTCTGCAGGGCTATTAAGATCCCAGTAAGGCAGCAAAGCAAAGCAGTTTGTCCCTGTGTCATGTGATAGTCACCCAGAAGTGGCTACCATGTTTTGGGCGGAACATAATGGCGGTTGCTTTTGGCCCGCCATGCAGCCCGGGAACAAAGTAGTCCATTTTGCTGCCCTAATGAAGTCTGCACAGCACTGCAGAAGCTTCTGAAAGCTGTAGAAAGCTTCTGCAGCACTGTGTAAACCACATTAAGGCAGCGAAATGGATTGCTTTATCGCAGGGCCACATGGTGCTATTCCAGAAGCAGCGGCAATACCAAAATGCAATTCAGCCAGTGGAAACGCCATGGAATCATGTCAGTGCAATGAAGCAATCTATTTTAGCCCTATGGAAGGCCTTGGAGCTCCTCAAAAGCTAACTGAGGAGGGTGTTTGGCCTGGTGGGATGAGAATCGTGCCTAAGGGGACGACTGGTGTGGGAAAAGGCCTATGGGGACCTAAGGGGTGGGAAGCAGAGCACAGGACTTCTCGGAGAGTGAGGAAGGCCTTGGGCAGGAGAGTCTGGGCTTCCAAAGGCCTTCCTCACCTGTGAGGCACTCTGTGCTCCACTTACCTCATGCACATTTGTTTAATGATTCATTGGGGAGAGATGGGATGGGATGGTCATTAGTTGAGCTGCATAATTTAATGACATGTGCAATATACAACTGTTATATTACAACAGTTGTTTGCTCTGGCTCTGCAGGCTCCATTAGTCATATCTCTGTATGGCTGTAAGCTTCTGAGATGTGTCTGGTTGGAATTGTAAAAATCCTAGCATCATTTGAAAAGAACTGATGTATGTATGTATGTGTGTGTGTATGTATGTATGTATGTATGTAACAGATTTATATGGCTGCCCACCTCACACACTGTGTGAATACAGGTGGATTCCCCTCCACGGTCCACCTGTATTTACTACTATGCCTACAGATCCCAAAGTACACTGAATTCAGCATAACTTAGATCAGGGTATACAAGCCTAGTTTAGCATTGGACACCTTTAAATGCCACCTACATAGAATTTACTGTTAAGCAAAAGATTTTTTTTGGTCAAAACTAAGGTCTTCCTTTTCCCCCCTCATAGGCTGGAGTCCTGATGCTAGATACTCAGAGCATTTTCTTCAGGAGGCCAAGTTGCTTCATTGGAATGGGAGATATAAGCCTTGGGGCTACCCTAGCGGACACATTGACTTTTGGGAAAAATGGTTTGTTCCTGACCCTTCAGGAACTTTTAAACTGATTCGTCCTAACAGCTAATTATGCCATTTTATCTTAAAGACATCAGGAACAGTTTTCAGCATGATCATGGTTTTTTGTTTTATGATGAGATTTCTCTTATAGTGAACATGGCTCTACTGTATAAGAGTGTAATTGAATCCTATGATGTAGAAGCGTCAAAATGAAACTTTACCACAAGTGCAATGAGGCCACAAAGTATGCACACTATCATCTTTTTAGCAGGAGCTGAAACTGAAACATTGTTTAGGGGAAACAATCTTTATAACATTAAGGCCTCTATTTAAATAATTCTGTAAATAAGAACTTACCAAAATACTGTGTAATACTTCTGAATAATTTTTTTTTGCCATAAATACATTTTTATATATAAAATTAAGCAATAAAATTAAGCATCCATTATTTTATTTCAAATAATTTAAAATTGCTTTGTTGTAACAACACCAATACAATTAATCATTGACTTTTAAACAATGTTACAATAAAGCACCAGAAAATATTATAAGAATTTGTTTTTTTTGCAAAAAAAAAAAAAAAAGGCAGATCAGACATATTAAATACATTTTAAAGCACCATATTCTAGAACTGATGTGCATTCATATCTCATTAACCTGGATGTTTCTTTCAAAACAAGTCATCCCCTTTTCACATCATAATAGTGAGCTATGCATGATCTGCAGCAAGATAATTCTCTGTTTAAAAAAGTGTTCCAGATCCCTGATGCAAGGCACTTCAAGCACTTGCAAAAAAGTATCCATGTAAACAGTGACACATAAGTGTGCAAGCTTAAGCACACTTACTAGGAAGTAAACCTTGTTGAATATCGTGGAGCTCAATTTGAATAAACATGCATTAAGATTGTGCTACAAATGAATTTACTAGATTATTGACATGGAGTTTCCACAGAGACTAACCAACATGATCAGAACTAGATACACATCTTAATATTAAAAAGAATTGGCTTGGAGGATTAATGTACATTATTTTGTGGCAGGTCATAAATATGCTCATCTTTTAATGAGCAAGAAATCAAAACACTCTGGAAAACTTCCAAAGTGACTAGCAAGCTATGGTTTGACTTTAAATTGATCCATACAACCCTACTTCCTAACGCCAATAAAACATTTTAAACATTTCCAGCTATTTGTGAAGTAGTTAGATAATCTAAATTATATACACACTGAAATAGAGTTCTGGTACATAATTCAAGTATCTAAAGCACCTAATCAATAGATTCTGAAAAACTCTGTTTACTTCTTTTATTGCTTTTATCTCTACCCCTCAAGGAGAAAGCAGGCTGGAGGAGAAAAGAAGGCATAGATAGCACAAACATTCTCCGTAGGAACTATGTTTTTAAAAAGACAATGGTCACAATCTGTTGCATTGCAAATTTAGCACAGCAGGCAGAATATTCTAACAGAGTGCATATCCTCCACAAGCAGTGGAGTGTCACAGAAAAAATAGTGCAACTCCTGTTCTCACATCTATCTTTCCTTCTCCAAGCCTAACTTAGAGCGATAAATACAAAAGTAGTTATATCAACTGCATAGAAAAGTATTGTTTTACTCAAAGCGAACCATTTGTTGATACCAGCAATGCCAACTGAAACAGAAATAAAAAATACAGACTTGGGTCCCTGAAAAATATTTTTGAATTTAAAGGTAAATGTGGCTCAAATCCCACATTTTTTAAAAGGCAGTTTTCACATTTGATTACCAGCGACAAGACCCAGAGAGAATTAGGAATCTAGTCCTTTTTGGGGAAAGAGAGGACCTGGTGTTCTGTCTGAGTTACTTCTCTTAATGGATAGGCTTGCATTTCTACTATCTTGTATTGTTACTGTTTGATAATTTTAAATCAACATTTCCGCCCTTTAATTCATATAAATGAGCACACATAGGGTATATCCCAACACCCAGGAAAGGATATCTTAAAAATATAACTTCACAGAATATCTTACAAAATATGGATTTAAAACAAGACATTGGACATCACAAACGAGAAATCACTTGGCTAAAACTGCAAAAATGGAATAATTTTAGCTATGAAACTTTGTACCAAAAAAAGAAAGAATGGGGATTTTCTCTAACAAAGGACACTTTTTAAAATTAATCTAATTCATCTACCAAGAATGACTCACCCTAAGAAAAACTAAGAGGTACAATGCTATTCAAATGCTTCAGTTGTGGAACTGAGGTACCATTCTTGACCACTGCATTAAAAAAATGACCGTAGAATATAGAGTTGATTCTAAGTACTGACTCTTCCTTCTTCTTGTGCTCTTGAGAGGCTAAATGCAGGAATCTGATCTGTGAAAGTTTGCATCATCCACTGTCCATTAGGCACTTCACCAGCGGAAGAACCACTGCTGTACTCCATGTTGGTTGCTGCATAAAAAGAAACCTACATCAATTGTTGCTATTAAAACTAAGGGAGCAAAAAGCATAACTACATGCAAAATACATGAATATAGAAGCACATATTTTATAGCATTTATGCTGTTCATGTGTTTATAGTAATTTCAAAATGCATTTTTATTTTTAAGGATTAAAAAAAAATTAAGCAAATCTGGCTTTCTGGGACACAATTTCAAGCCTCAAAGACTATGCTGGAATTCCTCTTCTGAGATTGGAAAGAAAGCTCCAATTTCAGAAGAGGCAATCCAAGATTCCTGCTCTCTCTCCTTGAGGATATTTTTGCACTCTTTCTCATTCCCACACTGTAGAGAAGAAACAGAACTAGAGGTGGTGTTGGCTTCAAAAGCCAAATCTCTTGTACTTGCTTTATATATTTTCAACACAAGAAAATTTTGAGCCACCCTTCGTACTAAATAAATACCTTCCCACTGCATACAATGCAGAAGATGAATATTTCTTAAACTGACAAATGGAGTTATTTTTGCTTTCTTTTATTCCATCGCTTCAGTCAATGTACTGGCAGAAGGATTATGAAGTCAATGGGGGTCATGAAGATCAGAGCATTCTAATTACAGCTTGCCCAAGAAACAATTTTACTGCCTTCTCAGTTGGGGACAATAGATTAAAATAAAGACGTAATTTGAATTTTTTCATGCTATACCTGTTCCATTTGTGGGGAAGATACACTGTTCATTCTCAGAGGTTGTTCTCTCACCATAAGCTCCTCCATAGGCTGCTTCATATCCTGGATCATATTTTTCTTCTTTAACAGCCATCTTCTTAGCTTCCTCTGCATAAACCAGACTCACAATGTTGAAATTGTTCTTAAACACAGAACCATTTGTCAATGTTATCCTATCTCAGAATAAAATCAAATCACAGCTTGAAAACTTGTAAATATCCTGTTCTATCCATAAGAATTGCCTTGCAGAAGAAGTCACACAATGGAGTTTGCATTATTGTGTAATCATTAAATCTGAAATATGTAAGAACTGTAAACCATTAGTTCATAGTACGAATTAACTGTCTGGGTCTACTTTTATTTACTTTTTGAAGATTTGACATATTACGTATTTCATAACTACTACTTTGATTTCACATGGAATACCTTGTGCAAGCTGCAAATCAAATGTATACTGTACTTCCTGGACTTCAGCAGATGATGCAACCCCCTTCAATTGATCCCTTAAATCTTTTAGCTTTATGTAATAATGAACTTTATCCTGTGCACGAGGAAACTGAGCACATCTTGCACTGGATGATGGCATGACATAACAAAGCTGTACCAAAAAATAGGAGAAAAAAAGCAACCAACTGTCATCAAACTGGTTATTTTCAAATACTAAAATTGTTTGTTACAGAGCTTTTTGATCTTTGGCAGATTTTCTGAAAACTTAAACTCTTAAGAGAACAGCAGTAATTTTAAATGAAGACTCATATCCTAAACAGCAAGATGTTTGATTTACATATTGAAATAAATATATTTAAAAAGTCCTTCCATAAATGGGAAAAATTTATATTCCAATCAAGATAAGAACTTACTGTTTCTGTATCTGGAACCTTATGTGGCTGTAGTCCAAATTCTAATTTTTTAACTTTCACTCCAAAAACTTCTTTACTAAAAATGTCATAAATACCTAGTGAAATTGGAAATACATCCATCAGTTATAATACATACTTAACCACAACAAAATGCCCGAGTCTCATTTTTAAAAACTTACATTTTCCATTAAAAACAGCTATTTTGGGTTGATACTTCTGCAATTTCTGCACTAGAATACGTCCTCCTTCCCGAAATTCTTTGCTGAAAAGAGGACAAAATAGCACAAATAAAAAATAGGACCATAATTTTCTGATAAATACTGTATGATAAAAAAAAAACCTACCTGGAAAGGTCTTTGCTACCCGGTGTTGTCCTTTCCACCATATTTGTAAATCCAATACCATATTTATGTGGCAAAGTATGATCATCCATATGATTCAATTGTTCGTTGCTTAGCCCAGACATAAAAAGACATTTCCCTATGGAGCCAAAAAATGTATTTGTCATATTTTCTGGACAGTACATATCAAAACTCTATAATTTTCTTTTTAAATTATATTTATTAAATTATATTTATTTTTACTTTCAAAAATAGCAAATTAACAATAATCATGCAAAATGAGGCTAGTCAACATAATATGGCATAATCTTTATTATTATTTAAAGAAAAAAATGAAGTCTCTCTTGAATCAAGCTCAACTGATGGTCTCTACATGGTTGTATCTATGCAGCTTTCTTGTCAACCTGATGGTAGGTTTTTGCACTCTTCAAGATATTTTTTCATTTAGTGGTCCAGTTTACTGGTCCCCTGTCCAGGTATCAACAAATTCAGCTTTGTTTTTATATGTCCTAACAGGCAATTCGTTACATAATTTGCTTTGAATTTATGCAAAAGAAATGTTTGAGTTACCTTCATTGACATATGAACATATTGATTAATCTGTTCTAGCAATAACAATTCTTGATTACAATCATAACCTATTGCTTTCTGTTACTACAACTATAAAATTCTAGATTATAAGAAAATTTCCAGAGTTCATGAAAAGGGATACTCACAAAAATGGTTTCCAGGTCCTGGATAATGATGGCCTTTGTAGGCTGCCATTAAACCTGGGTTTATACCAATCTAGGGAGGAATACATAAATTAAATCATAATTTTGTTCATGATAAAAATGTATTAGATGTAATGAAAAGAACAACCACAACATAAGTAAACCACTTGGATAAATAAGGGATCTGTCACTCATGATTGTCCAATAAATGCATCTGTTCATGGTGATTTATATAATTTGCATAAAGACATCATTAAGCAAATGATACAAATTACAGAAATACTGTCATATAAATTAATACATGTCCAGTCCACATCATCCAAATGAATTCTGTATTTATTTTAGACATGCTCAGATGGAAATTCTGCCTGCTGCACTGAAAATCCATTAAATGGCATTCCATTAAATTGAGTCCTTTTATTATATAACTTTAGGTTTCCTAAAGCAGGGTATTAGATTAAGACAGTATATTAAAATTCAAAGTTAATAAAGGAATCATGAGTTTCAATCTCCACAAATTATAACCTGTTTTGTCTGGTCAATCAGTCCTATAAATTCTTCAAGATAGCAAGGGAAAACCAGAAATGATATATTATAAGGAGGTCATTAAATATCAATGTAGAGCTCTATACTTCCATATAAAAATGAAACATATCCAAGACTCGCATCATGAAGACCCTTCAAGAATTTATCAACAAATTGCTTAGTTAATTGACCATAACCATTATCTACAGTTAAACCATTTGTACAATTGACTTACAATTACAATGTCCAAATTGAAGGTCAATATATCGGGAAGAGTTTTGGTCAACAATTCAGCTTCTGAAACACCATTAAAGCGATCAACTTTTCTTTTGACTTTGAAACTATCTGTGATTTTTTCCTGTTTCCCTTTGGATTTTACAGGTTTAGGTTTAGGCTTAGGTTTAGGCTTAGGCTTAGCAGCAGATTTTTTGGGTTCAGTAGATTTATTTCTTCTTTTCCTTCCTTTAGCAGTTGCTGAAAGACAGGAGTCATCTTATTTAATAGTGAAGGCAGAATAATTGTATGTTTTAAGTTTAGAAATGTTCTTCAAATTTATCAAAAAAAATTTTCAGTTAAATTTACCAACTTCCAACATAACAATGGAGAAATTTTGGTCCACAGATCTAACCAGAAACTTCATTGTCTCTCCACACAGCTTCTCCCACATGTTCTTACATTGTTCATCAGTGTCTTCAATACACAATTTCTTGGGCTTTCCCACCCTACCACAATTCCTTAGAGGACTACCTTTCAAAATCCCTCAAAAATCTCTTTAGTGTTTTGAAGAACTTCCACACCCTAAGGTTAAAAAAAATCTATACAGGACAGAAGAAGCTTAAAGTTTGATCCTTCCCCACCACATCTTTATCCCTAATCAAACAAATAGTCATCTTTAAATTGTCCCAAATACTGGCAATTGGCAAGTCATAAACTTTAATGCAACTGAGTCAAATCACCCTTGAAAATGTCTCTGAAACCAACTAATACAAGTAATCCCTGGGTTACGAGCGTTCCCTTAGCGAACATTCAAAGTTACGCAATAAGCGGCCCCTAGCATTTGTGAATGAGGTCCAAAATTATAAATCTTGCAGTACCATGGCACTTGTTCGCCCTTATGAACAACCATAGAGGCTCTGCAGCATTCATTCTGCATGTTGCTGGCTGAAATGGAGCTTCTGAAAGGCGGATCTGCTCCTCAGAAGCTTCAGTTGTCCAGAGGCTTCACCTGGGACGTTATGGGCTGAAAGTGAGCTTCCGAGGGCGGGATTCGTCCCTCCAACGCTCTGTTCGGCCCTCCACGGGACTCCCCCTGCCATGCCAAAATGGAGCTTCTGGGGCTGGATTCAACCCTCCGTTCAGCCCTCCCCTGGCTGTTGCAGGCTGAAATGGATCCAGCCCCTGGAGGCTCCATTCCGGCTTGCAATGGGCTGGGGGAGGCCTGTGGAGGTCTGGAGCATCGGAGGGCTGGATTTGCCCATCAGAAGCTCCAACCTGCCAGGCGAGGTCTACGAAGGCCCGAACCAAACTGCAAAGGGGTGCACGAGGCTGGAGACTGTTTGCTAGTTTTTCACAAAGTAAATGACACGGCACAGCAGTTTGGGGGTGGGGGAAGCAATTGTGGGGAGCATGAGGTATTTCAGTGGGTCGGGGAGGCCTTCTGTAGTCTTAGGCAGATGGCCTGTTCCATCAGTAGGCTCCCCCATGGCCTTCCCCACCCTGAAATACCTCATGTGCACTTCACGAGACTCACATTTGATTAGTGAATGCATGGGCAAAAGGAGGGAATGATCCTTTTCAAGGTACAAGATTCACTCCCACAAATCCTTGGGTTACAAATGGAATGGGCAGGCTCCATTTCATTCGTAACTCAGACTACCTGTAATTACTAGAAAATATTATGGAATGTTATTAAAATGTGTATAATGCACAATAATTGCAAGCTAACAATAACCTAGGGACGCGGTGGCTCAGTGGCTAAGACGCTGAGCTTGTTGATCAAAAAGTTGGCAGTTCAGCGGTTCGAATCCCTAGTGCCGCATAACGGGGTGAGCTCCCATTACTTGTCCCAGCTTCTGCCAACCTAGCACTTCGAAAGCATGTAAAAAATTGAAGTAGAAAAATAGGGGTCACCTTTGGTGGGAAGGTAACAGTGTTCCGTGTGCCTTTGGCATTTAGTCATGCCGGCCACATGACCACGGAGATGTCTTTGGACAGCGCTGGCTCTTCAGCTTTGAAACAGAGATGAGCACCGCACCCTAGAGTCGGGAACGACTAGCACATATATGCGAGGGGAACTTTTACCTTTACCTTTATCATAACCTATTACTTTCATATAATAGGAGAATGGTTAAGATTGCCGTTTAACTTTTGGCAGAGTATCATCACTATTTCCAGGAGACACATGGGAGAAATCCAGTGAATTGGTCCTGCTGATTAAATGGTGGTTGATTTAAAGATTGCATTAATTTCAATGTATTGTGTGAGTTCAGCCCCTGTGATTTCTTGAGTGAAAACTGTGATTTAGCATGATATGTGTACTCAGTTGTATATTTCAGAGGACACAGAGGAATTAACATTTCCTTTTCAATTAATAACCTATGATTCCCTGTGCAGCTTTACTGAGAAGACCTCAGTAAGGGATGGGAGAAATGAGAAGCCCCATCATGCTAGTAGATATGAAATTCTATACTGCACTACTAACATGAAAGGCAGTTGGGAAATATGCATAGAAAACAACAGATTTACAAGGTAATCACAAAATGTAGTCCCCTTGAGACTTTCTTTAGAACAAATATGTACACGAATGCAACTTTTAAATGAGAAACCATCTTAACTGAAGTAACTAACTCATTTTTGAATGTCATGTTGTTGGAATATCATTATTCGGTAAGAAAAAAAAGGCAAAATTCAGTATGTGCTATTTTAAAGTATGTTCCATATAGCTTGCTGTTTCTCAAGGGTAATAAAAAATGTACATTTAACATCAGGGTTCATTTATTTAAGCACACATTTTATCTTAAAGAAAATCTCTTCACAACTGAATCATTTCTGAGAAGAAAACAATCCTGCAATTTTCACAAATTCCAGAAGAAATTATTGTTGCAAGTTTGCGCTCAATATTTCAAGTGGAAAAAAAAAAAACAAAGATACCTTGAATAGGTTCCTGAGCAATGTTTGGTTCCAAGTCTTCCTGAAGATCTTCATGCTCATTCATCAACTCCAGATTAGGAGCTGCAGCCATCGTTTGGTTGTAGGAAAAGGGATAAAAGGCTGGTTGAAGAGGAGTGTAGTATCTTTTTTTAAAAAAAAGAAAAAAATATTTTAAATAGTAAGTTAAGGAGGAAATTCCCATAGTATTGGACATAAATTTGCATAGCTGATCTGAATACATTTCATATGGTGTATAATTCTTAACCCATGTATATTAGATCAGGAATGCCCAAAAAACTGTGTGGAGCCCACAACCAAAAAGAATCCAGCTTCAGAAAGCTTCTCACCCCTCTCCTTACAAGCAGGTCAGCCAATGGGCAGAAAAAGTTTTCTCCTGACAGTAACAGCAAGTGGCTAAATACTGGTTGTCCTTGACTTACAACCATTTGTTTTGTGACCATTTCAAAATTACAGCAGCACTGAAAAAAGTGACTTACAACTAGTCCTCATGCTGATAACGAACCCAGTATCCCCACAGTTGTGTGATCAACATTTGGGTGCTTGGCAACTAACATGTATTTACAATAGTTGTAGTATACCTGGGTCATATGATCGTCATTTGCGACCTTTCCAGCTGGCTTCCGATAAGCAAAGTCAGTAGGGGTAGCCAGATTCACTTAACGACCACATGATTCAGTTAACAATTACAGTGATTCACTTAGCAACTATTACAAGAGTGCAAAAATTAGCCATGACTCATTTAAAACCGCCTCAGTAACAGAAATTCTGGTCTCAATTGTAAGTTGAGCATTACCTGTAACTGAGTCAAATTAAGTATTCGGCCAACTCACAGAGGATAAGACTGCTGGGACTCAGTGAAGTAAGATAGGGATCAAACCAGTGGTGGGTTGCCCCTGGTTCGGACCAATAGTAAAACCGGTGGGAGGCCCCACCCACCGCCCCAGATGTCGTCATTGGCAATCTGCGCATGCGCAGAAGCAAGGTGCATGCGCGTGCGAAGTGACCATGCGCGATCCCGTTGCAAACCGGTAGTAAAGGTAAGTAGAACCCACCCCTGGATCAACATGTGCATGCTTTCATACAGAGAATAGATGAGAATGGTACCCAGTATGTGAATGGTACCCAGTAACATGACTGTCTAATTCAGGCCTTCAAACTGGTGATCTGCAGGCAGGATATGCCCATCCCAACTCCGCAAAGGCAAAAAACATCCCAATGCATCACGATATGGATCGATACATCACAATATGGACCACGATGTGATTGGGTTTGACACCCTTGGTCTAATTCATTTGCCCTACCTTTTTATTAACACTCACAATCCTTGCTGCTACAGGATCACAAATATAGTGAAATTTGGAAGTCAACATGCTTTATACAAGCCTACCAGATGTGGCTGCAAAAACTAGATCACCATTCAATGTGGTGCATAGATACAAATGTCTACAATGTGCTACAGTAAAGACATAAAGATCTACTGCCATCCAGTTTCTGCAGCCCAGATCTCGTAAACCTAGTTTAAGTCTCAATATAGATACCCTCCCAGCATCTATGCCCAGGACTGTCTATTAAAACACATGTCATTCTGGTCGGCCAGACTATTTTGCAACAGCTTAGGTTGGCTTGATAATATGACATAGCAAAAATTGAGTCATATAGATGCTTGTTTTTTTTATCGATGCAGATTGGATGACAGTAATACAGTCTGTGGGGAACTGTTTGGAAACTGCAACCGATACCAAAGGATGAAACTACATATTCAGCTCATATTACACTTATTTCATATCATTAGCTTTAGTTGCTTATTTGTTTCTGGACTGCAATGCTAAGGGTACTGAGAAAGGATTATTTGAAGAAATATCTAACCAAAAGTTTATTCAAGCATTAAAAATACTGTTTAGGCTCTTTTCACCATCCCTCTGGTGAATACTGCATGTAGGCTAAAAACAGTAGAGGCTCTCTCTACCTTCTTGATGCTGCTGAGCTACAACTCACAACAGCTTTAACTGCATGAACAATAGCCAATGCATACTAGGAATTGTAGGTCAGCAGTTTTTGGACAATGCACCAGCTGCCTATTCCTGCCTTAGGGTTTTTTCACCAGTGGTTTCATATTTATCAAATCTTCCCCCAGCAAGACATAAATGCCTTTATTAAGCAACAACCCAATGAGGACACATATTTCCAGTATGCACATTTTTTTAAAAAAAATCCAAGAAGTCAATATTAAGAAAACTAAGCTATTGTTGCTTGTGCTGTGTTTTAATGAAATTTATTAATTACATGTCAGCTTTTTGTAAGCCTATCAGGTGAAGATAATGCATCCTGAAGTACCATTTAAAAAATGTTAGAAAATATAGTTAGTCCTCGACTTACAACCACAATTGAGTCCAAAATTTCTGTTGCTAAGCGAAACATTTGTTAAATGAATTCTGCTCCATTTTACAACTTTTCTTGCTACAGTTATAAAGTGAATCACTGCAATTGTTAAGTTAGTAACACTGTTAAGTGAATTTGGCTTTTCCATTGACTTAGTCAGAGGTTGGCAAAAGGTGATCATGTGACACTGGGACATGCAAGTGTCATAAATATGAGTCAATTGCTAAGTGTCTTTTGATCACATGACCATGGAGATGCTGCGATGGTCGTAAGTGAGACAAATATTCATAAGTCACTTTTTCCAGTGCCAGTGGAACATTGAACAGTCACTAAACAAACTGTTGTAAGTCGAGGACTACCTGTATTCAGAATGAATTCCTGAAATTAATTAAAAAATTTGCTACTATACATACATAACTTACATAATTTATGAGTATTTTATCAGTTATTCTGGAAAAAAGATGATGAACATGTACAATGATTTACACCAGAGGTCTTCAAACTCGGCAGCTTTAAGACTTGTGGACTTCAGCTCCCAGAATTCTCCAGCCAGCATAGCTGGGAGTTGAAGTCCACAAGTCTTAAAGCTGCCAAGTTTGGGTACCCTTGATTTACACCAATCTGAGCAGTTATAAAGTAAAAGTTCTGCAAGCGGTATCCTAATGTGCAAAGGAGGAAAGAAAGGGCAACACTTCCTGCCACCAATTTATGTATGGATAAAGAAAATAGGAAAAAAGCCTCTTCTTAATCAAGCTAGTAGAGTTATTGTGTGAGGTTGGACAGTCTTATCCAGAACTGTGTTCAGTAATTCAGTTGGAATTACTGGAACTGGAGTAATTCTGCTCAACCTTAAAATTTAAACTTACAATCATCTACGGGTAAGTACACCAGAGTGCAAACCTGAAGAATGAATTAAAAGATTTCCAAGAAGTAGTCAACATTTTTTCCTTTATTCTGGCTGCGTCCTAAGTAGGATACTTAGTGGAAAATGATTTGTCATCTACCTTAGCTTATCTTAAAAATATCTTAAAAATATCACCCAGAGAAGTACCGGTATTTGTTTTAAGTAAACTCTGTAAAAGAACACCTTTGAATAAACCTTCAGTAGATGCTCAGATTCCACAGAGAGCTGTATGTCTGGTGTGGATGACATTTTATATTTTATATTTCATCTTTCTTACAATGATTTCTCATCAGCAATACAGGGTAAACTCTTTTTATCATCTGCTATTTGAAAGCAGATCTGAAATATTAGCAAGATTTACAGGGACCATATGTCAGATATTTATCCCATTCTTAAAACATTTTACAGTGATTTTCAATACATTACTGTAAAATCACAATAAAATCATAACAGTAGCTTTCTTTAAAAAGTAATCTCCCTGCCCTCACTTGCTCCTCTCTCTCTCTCTCTCACATACACACACACACCTTTGAAAATACACAGAAGCACAAACACACACACCTGGAATAGTGGACTGGACTCAAGCTACAATAGAAGCCCAGAAAAATAACTACAATAAATCTTGTCCTTCAGTCACACAGCAAAGTTGACAGACTATTTATCAAACAGCATAAATGACCATGGGATGTTGCAAGTACACCAGACAGGTAAAGAAAAAAAAAAGCATTGGCAAAATATGTAGAAGAAGACACATTGAAGTTAGTACACCATGAAGGCTTTCTGAATATCAGAGATTAAATTGGCCTAATTAAAATGAAGAAGAGAAACGAGACATGGCAAGGCACAGTATTACATGGCCAATAAGTACTTTAAAAAAAAAACACCTAGTACGCAAAATAGATTAACACTAAGACCTGAAAATGGCTAACAGCAACAAAGTAGAAAAAACAAGCAAGAGGGGCTAATTCTGGTTTAAGCCTTAAAACCAAATGAATATAAAACTAGAATTGAGAAGACAGCAACAGACAGCAAATGTAAAGAAGCTGAAGAAATGATGGGCCACCTAGCTGAAACCTGCAAGAAAATTGCAGAATGATTACAAACAATGGCATGGGCAAAGTAGCACAAGGATGCATCGGAACATTTCCTAAGAAATAGGATTTGTCTGCAAGCAAGAACTGGTAGGACCACAAAACAAACAAGATTATAGAGAACAAAGAAGCTGGAGGTACTCTGGGACTTTAGAATTCAAACCAACAAGCATCTGCCGCGCAAAGTTTGCACGCTTAACCATGTTGATAAAGACAAAAAAATAAAGTCTGGATAGTGGATGTTGCTGTACCTGGAGACAGCAAAATACTGCAGAGGAGAAAGAATTGGAGGTAAAGACCTGCAAAGAGAAGACTATGGCAAAAGAAAGCAAAGATCGTACCAACAAGTAAATAGATGCCTTAGGTGCCATTCCAAAACATTTTGAACATCATTAGCATTGACAAAATCCGCCACAAAATCAATTGCAGGAGGTAGTTCTACCTGTATTAAGCTTCCATCCTGCAACAATCCCTTTAATATGTATACTGCTCAAAAAAATAAAGGAAACACAAGCAGAAGACATCCGAGATCTGAATGAATGAAATAGCCTTATTAAATACTTTCTTCGTTACATACAGTAGTTTATACACTGCTCAAACACCTAAAGGGACCACAAAAGTACTGTATGTAACGAAGAAAGTATTTAATAAGGCTATTTCACTCATTCAGATCTCGGATGTCTTCTGCTTGTGTTCCCTTTATTTTTTTGAGCAGTGTATTAAACTAGGGGTCTCCAACCTTGGCAACTTTAAGCCTGGTGGACTTCAACTCCCAGAATTCCCCAGCCAGCAAAGCTTTTAATATGTATTAAACTTTGCTGGCTGGGGAATTCTGGGAGTTGAAGTCCACCAGGCTTAAAAGTTGCCAAGGTTGGAGACCCCTGTATTAAATAACATCTGCCTATCCCTGGGGAAGATTTTAATCAACGGGCAAAAAAATAAAAAAAATTAATAAATTGCAAAATCCAGTCTAAACAAACTGCGACCAATAATAATAATAACAACAACAATAATAAAATTTATCTGCCGCCCTGGAGAGCAGCAAAGGAATGGAAGCAAGCGCGGAGGCGAGGCTGCCCTCCCTTGGATGACCGTCCGGATTTTTCCCTTCCTAAAAACCCCAGGAAATTCAGGCTTCGGCCTTCCTCTGGAGCTCAGCCGGAAGCCCTTTGTAGTAGCCGCCAACCCAGCGACAGGAAAGCTCCCACCGTGGAGGGGGAGGTTGCCGTTCCTTTCTTCCCCAGCAGCGTTAATATCCCCCTCCCCGTTCACTCCCAGGCAATACCTGGTCCCGGGCTCCTCGGTTTCCATCTCCGAGCTTTGGTGTATCATAACCACCACCCCGCCGTCCGCTCTGCCGGCCAACGAGCCTCTGTCGGGGGGAAGGCCGGGAAAGAAGCGCCGAACCCAGCCGAGCCCCCCTCCCCGCACAGCCCCTCCGCGCGCCCCTTCCCCCTCCGCGCTATATATATAAATATATATATACCTTCCGCCGCCGCCACGCGCGCCCTCCTTAAACTCTCACTCAGCACGCCGGGGACTAAGCCAGCCAATAGAGATAGGAAAGTGGAAGAGAGGTCCACCAAAGCAAAGTTCCGATTTCCTCAGGGAGGGGGAAAAAAAATAAAATAATAAAAATAAAATCACTTCACCTTGTTTTTTTAAATTGTACAGCAATCTTTCTCCTCAAACCTAGCTTTTTTAAAAAAAAAAAACACGAAGTGGAAGAAAGGCAGCTCTGAACAGACAAATATAAATATATTAAGGAAAAGAATGAATTGTTTAAGAATAAAAGAGGACCACTATGTATAAATAGTAAAGTTAGAATTTAGGGATAAATGAAGAAGATGTTTACGTATGCAAGTGTAGAAGTACTGAGGTATATTTAAAAAAAAGGAAAGGGGGGAAGACGATATTGACAAAAACTGTAACTGAGTAAAATGTATTTGAATTTGACTAATTGTATAAAATAAGAAACGACCAACACTCTGTTCAAAAAAAAGAAAGAAAAAGAAAAATGTGGGTGAAGGTGGGAGAGGAGAAAAGAAAAAACCAATAAAACTTGTTTTTTTAAAAATAAAATAAAATAAAATAACTTCATGGTAGGAAAGCGACTCACTGGAGAAGAGCCTAATGCTGGGAAAGATTGAGGGCAAAAGAAGAATGGGACAACAGAGAATGAGGTGGCTGGATGGAGTCACTGAAGCAGTCAGTGTGAACTTAAATGGACTCCAGAGGATGGTAGAGGACAAGAAGGCCTGGAGCAGTGGTGAAATCCAAATTTTTTTTACTACCTGTTCTGTGGGCGTGGCTTGTGCGTGGCTTGTGGGCGTGGTGTGGCTTGGTGGGCACCGCTTGGTGGGCATGGCAGGGGAAGGATACTGAAAAATCTCCATTCCCACCCCACTCCTGGGAGAAGGATATTGCAAAATCTCCATTCGCACCCCACTCTGGGGCCAGCCAGAGGTGGTATTTGCTGGTTCTCCAAACTACTCAAAATTTCCACTACCGGTTCTCCAGTACCTGCTGGATTTCACCCCTGACCTTGAGGAACGTTGTCTATGAGGTCGCGATGGGTCGGACACTACTTCGCATCTAACAACAAGGAAGGCAACACTATAATTCAAGAGCGAAATATTGGCAGGATCTGAAGCCAAATCAGAGGGTGAATGAAGGGCGAAGAAAAAAAAAAGTTGTATTCCTCGCTTGGAAGTTTTAAAAGAGCCTGCCTCAAGGTGCTACCTCCAAATGGATCGGCTTTCCGAATCCCATAATTCCCTTCTAAATTTGGTCATTCTTTTTTTTTTTTTTAATTTGATTTATATGCCGCCCTTCTCCGAAGACTCAGGGCGGCTTACAATGTGCTCAGCAATAGCCTTCATCCTTTTGTATAGTTATACAAAGTCAGCTTATTGCCCCCACAAACTGGGTCCTCATTTCACCTACCTTAGAAAGGATGGAAGGCTGAGTCAACCTTGAGCCTTGGCGAGATTCGAACCCTGCAATAATTGCAGGCAGCTGGTCTTAATAACCAGCTTAATAACAGGGTGCCTTAAACCCCTGTACTACCAATTCTTTGAGGATTGTTGAAATCGAAATCTCGCAATCCAAGTAGAGAAAAGGCCGGTTCAAACATATACAATACAGGTATCCTCGACTTACAACAGTTAATTTAGTGACTGTTCAAAGTTACAAAGATACTGAAAAAAATGACTTATGACTGTTTTTCACAGTTACAACCTTTGTAGCATCCCCCATGAGCATGTGATCAAAATTCAGATGATTGGCAACTGGTTCATACTTATGATCGTTGCAGCATCCCAGGGTCAGGTGATCACTTTTTGCGACCTTCTAACAAGCAAAATCAATGGGAAAGCCAGATTCACTTAACAACTGGGTTGCTAACTTATCAACTGCAGTAAAAACTGTGGCAAGAAATGTTGTAAAATGGGGCAAAAACTCACTTAACAAATTCTCACTTAACAACATAAATTTTGGGCTCAATTGTGGTCGTAAATTGAGGACTGCCTGCACAGTTCCAGTTAGAAATAAGGCATTGCTTAATAAGTGGGGAAGATCATGGTTTTGAACAGCGTCAAGCTCTCACACGCGGCAAATACACGCTGACACATTTGGAAACGATGATGATACTGGATGGATAATGCAAAGGCTATTTTCAAACGCAGGGGAAAGAAGCAATATGTTATAGGGCAGTGTTTCTCAACCTTGGTAGCTTGAAGATGGGTGGACTTCAACTCCCAGAATCCCCCAGCCAGCAGCGCTTGGGAGATTCAGAGTTGAAGTCCACCAATCTTCAAGCTTCCAAGGTTGAGAAACACTGTTATAGGAGAAAAGAAACCCGAGTTAAATTGGCCCTACGGTTTGATTAGACAGCCGCTAATAATAGTTCATTAGAACTACTACTATAACATTCCAATTTTTCCATTGATTTCTGTAGGCAGGTTCACTTCTACTGGACTCGGTGAAGAATAATGAATCTATAACAATAACCTGAAAACTTAGCAGAAGCCTGTGGGTAAAGGCAACCAACTAAAACAATGTGTGCTTTTCTTTTAAACTTTGGCCCTTTAAGATGGGTGGACTTCAACTCTCAGAATTCCCCAGCCAAGCGTACCGCAGAAGTGCTGGCTGAGGAATTCTGGGAGTTGAAGTCCACTCATTTTAAAGTTCCCAAGTTTGAAGGAAAAAAAAACAACCCTCACTGAATTGAGAGGCAGCCAAACGACAGTCAACAACAGCGGAGCAATTGATACATCAGAGGGTTCCAAGTATTCCTTTTCACCAAATCTAGAAAAATACAGGCGGCTTTAAAACCAAAAAATCCACGCTTCACAACTCTCGCTACCGACCGCCTCGCTTTCGGCTCTCTCTTCTTTCCTTGCTCTCTTTTGTCTATCCAGAGGTGACGTCTCCTCCTCTGGCACGTGGCTTTGCATGTTGCAAAGTTGGCTTCCGCCTTTGCGATTGGCCGCCTGGAGGGATCCGCAGATCCTTCTCTCTTTCGTTCTTGCGGGGATTCGGAATTCATTCTTGCGGGGATCTGGAACGCTGATGCGTGTCAAGTCTCTGGCGTCCTTTGTAGGGAGAATCTGCTCGGTAGGACCTGAGTTTATCGTATTATATTTGTTTCGCGGCGGGAGGCGGGAAATAATCCACAACTGTGTGTGTGTGTCGATCAACGTGTTAGTAAATCTTGACTCCTGATGACTGCCTGGACTAATCCCTGCAGTTTTCTTGGTAAAGTTTTCAGAAGTGGCTTGCCAATGCGTCATTCCTAGATCTAAGAGAGTGACTGGCTCAAGGTCACTCAGCTATCTTTACACCCGAGGCAATACTTAGTTTACTAATATTCATTTCATACTTCGCTTTTCAAATTTCATACTTTGCTTTTGTAATCGATCGCTTGGGCTCTTTCTTAACACAGCTATATAGTGACATTCTGTGTCCAAATATAGTCCATCTGACAGGGGAAGAATGCAGGGCCAGGTGTTGAGGGAACAGTCACAGCATGCTAGGATGTTATCTCCTACCTAGCTCATGCTAAGATTTCCTGTGCTTTACTAAACCTATTTCTTTGGGGCTTTGCTAAGCCTACCTCTGTTTTGGGATAGAGGTTTACACTTGTTCTAGAAGGGGAAACTTATTTATTTTATTTTATTAGTCATATTTCTATGCCGCCTCTCCGAGGACTCTGGGTGGCTTACACCAAAGACAGTAACTAAATAGCATATCGTCCCCAACAATCTGGGTCCTCGTTTTACCCACCTCGGAAGGATGGAAGGCTGAGTCAACCTTGAGCCGGTGAGATTTGATCTGCTGAACTAGCAGTCAGCTGCAGTAGCTGCAGTATTGCACTCTAACCACTGTGCCGCCTTGGCTCTGATAGAACCTGATAGAACTTTTGTCTGTTTCACTACAGTTCCCAGATATTCCAGCTCCTTAGTTGATTGATTATGTATCAAGTCTTGGCAACAACATAGTTAGATTTTCTCTGTGATGATCTGTCCGTAACCTGGTCCATCAGTGATCCAAGAGTAATAGAGTGCTGACAGTAACTGGCTGTGACCTGCAAATATCCCTTAAAGCAGGGGTGAAATCCAGCAAGTTCTGGAGAACTGGTAGCGGAAACTTTGGGCAGTTCAGAGAACCGGCAAATACCACCACTGGCTGGCCCCAGAGTGGGGAGGGAATGGAGATTTTGCAATATCCTTTCCCTGGAGTAGGGTGGGAATGGAGATTTTGCAGTATCCTTCCCCTGCCACGCCCACCAAACCATGCCCACAGAACTGGTAGTAAAAAAATTTGGATTTCACCACTGCCTTAAAGTATGCAAATGATACTCCTACCCAGTAATTAAAATAGTAGAAAACATAAGCATGGAAACCCTTCTTGGCCTTCCAAAAGATGGATGCATTAGTTTATAGGTAGACCTCGGCCTGTGTCCATTTGTTTAGCAACTGTTCAGAGTTATGGTGGGTTGAAAGTATGGTCATAAAACTGATCATAAAGTGGCAGACATTGCAGCAACCCTCTGATCACAGGATTATGATCCAGACACTTATCCAGCCTGGCATGGCACCCCGTGCTTGGATTCCTGCCATTTACAGCCTAACAAACCAGGCGTATTGGGGTTACAACAGTAAGCAGGAGTCCTGGGATTGTCATTGCTAAGCAATGTGATATTGCATTTCATGACCATACTACTTAGCTACAGCAATCCCTGTCCCAATTGCTGGTATATCTTGAAGATGTCCTGTATATTAAGAAGGATGGAAGGTTGACTCAGCCTTCCATCCTTTCTAAGGTAGGTAAGGTACCTAAGGTAGGTAAAATGAGGAACCAGATTGTGGGGGCAATAAACTGACTGTATAAAATATACAAAAGTATGAAGGCTATTGCTTAACGCATTGTAAGCCGCCCTGAGTTTTCAGAGAAGGGCGGCATATAAATCAAATAGAAAAAACCAAAAAACAAAACAAAATAAAAAGATCCCATATAATAATATAGCTTCCCAGAGTCACTTCAAAACAGGGTGGGCAGCAAATAATAAGTGAAATAAAATACCTGAGTGACTCTCTTGAAGGCATAGGTCAGATTCTACAGGTTCTGTAAAAACAAGGTGTGTGGTCTTTTCCTTCATCTCAAGCCATAGGGAAGGGCCATGCCAATCGCTCCTCAATCAGCCAATAGAAAATTGCAGCCTCTGATCTCATCATCACCAAGTTCATGAATGCTGCACTATAGATTAGATTTTGTATGTATATATATGTGTCTGTCTGTCTGTCTGTCTACCTAGTGCTGGAGGAGGATAGAAAACCCTTATTTAGCAGCTATGACACATTTTGTATGCCTTTGGTTGGCTGGGAATAAACACTACAGTTGCTTCATGAAGATGTCTCTTAAAAATGATTAATCGGGCATCTCTGTGCTATTGTGAGCTTGTGAGAAAGAGCCCTGATTTGTAAAACCATCTTGATTACTATATGTTCTTGCCATGGTCCATTGTTGCTTTGACTTCAGTGGTCTGCTCTATATCTATATATCCCAATTCTGCTTTGGGACTGCTGAAATATTATTTTCTCTCCAAGTTTCTTATACACTCCCCCAACTCTGGCTAGTTAAAAGTTTGATTCCTGCATATCTTAACTTCTACCGTGCTTTTTTTTCTTCTAAGGTCCAGAACCATGCCTGCCGGTGTAAGTTGGCCCAAATACTTGAAAATCCTTACTGCAGCCTTCTTGTCCATGCTTGCTGGTGCACAAACCGTCCACAAATTTTACAAACCTGACCTCGTAAGTGCCTTTCCCCCTCCTCTTGATTGCTGTCTTGTCTTCTGCTTCAGATACAATTGGTGTTTTCTTCTACCACTTAGGATACATCGCATAGCTCTTTGGTGATTGCCTTACCTTACTTGCAATTTTGTCTTTTGCAGAGATGAGAGGTCTGTAGTAGGTTACTTTTGTGGCTTAGCTATAGGTTCTTCTCCCTAGACCTCTATCCAGATTTATTTTAAAAAATAAACACCCTTTTTTTTTAAAACTCAGAACTTGGAAATGTGTCATTGAAGTTACTTATGTGTTAGTTGACAGCATATGCTGTATCTTTCAGTGGGAGGTCAAAGCAGTACAACTGGGAACTGCCACCATTTTATCCATAGAATAACCCTATGAAGCAGTTGGTTGGGAATGCAAAACTGGCCCTCAGCACTAGACTTGGCAAATATGGCTGTAAAATCTAGAAATAGCAATTTTTAAATAAATTAATGGTTTTATTATAAATGAAAATATTGGTAGCTTGGATTTTTTTTTTTCAATTCAGACGTCGACAGCTTATTAAAGATGCCTGGCGTGCTCCATTTTCTCTATGTATGAGATGCACCAAAAAGCGTTTTAAGTGGTCACAGCTGAGGTGATTTTTCACTTTCAGTTCAAGTTGCTTCTGGGAGCTAGTCATTGAACATAGAACATGGAATAATAGAGTTGGAAGGAACCTTGGAGGTCATCTAACCCCCTGCTCAAGCAGGAGATCCTATATCATTTCAGACAAATGGTTGTCCAGTCTCTTTTTGAAAGCCTTCAGTGATGGAGCACCCACAACTTCTGAAGGCAAGCCATTCCATTGGTTGATTGCTCTCACTCCTTAGTTCTAGGTTGCTTCTCTCCTTGGGTAGTTCCCAACCATTGTTTCTTGTCTTGCTTTTTGGTGCTTTGGAAAATAGTTTGACTCCCATGTCTTTGTAGAAGCCCCTCAAATATTGAACCAGTGCTATCATATCCCCCCCTAGTTTTTTTCATTAGCTTAGACATACCCAATTCCTGTAACCGTTCTTTGTATATTTTGGCCTCCAGCTCCCTAATCATTTTTGTTGCTCTTCTCTGAATTCTTTCAGAGTCTCAATATCTTTTTTATATTGTGGTGACCAGACCTGGATGCAGCATTCTAAGTGTGATCTTACTAAGTCTTTGTAAAGTGGTACTAGAACTTCATGTGATCTTGATTTCATCCCTCTTAACGCAGCCAAGGATTGCATTTTTGGTTGCTGCAGCACAGTTGGCTCATATTTAAGTGATTGTCCACTAGGACTTCAAGATCCCACTTGCAGTTACTGGCATTAAGCCAAGTTTCACCTAGTAGTCTATACAGTTGGGTTGTTGTTTTTTTACCTAAGTGTAAAGTATTACTTTTATCTATGGTGAATTTCATTTTGATAGGGTCCAGTGTTCAAGTATGTCAAGATCTTTTTGGATCTTGAGGTCTTCTGACATGTTGGCTATTCCTGCACGCTTTGTATCATCTGCAAATTTGATGAGTTCCTCTTCAATTCCCTCTAGATTGTTTATGAAGATATTGAAGAGTACTGGGCCTAAAACGGAACCTTGGGGTACCCCACCACTTACTTCCCTCCATGTGGATGTAGTTCCGTTGAGAACTAGATGTTGAGTTTGTCAGCCAGATAGAAACCCACTTGGCAGTGGTACTGTCATAGTCTGAGAATGAATAGTCGCTGTTTAGGAAGAGTGCTAAATATAATCTGGAATTCTAAAATGTGTGGGTTGACATGGACATGTGATGGATTTGTTTTTGGATATTATTTATTTGTAGACATCAGATATTCCTCTGGAAGCTGGAGAGCTCAGAACAGAAATGCCAAGTCTAAAAAATACGAATGAGCCAGTTCAACCTTTACAACCACGATCATGAAACATGCCTGTCCTAATGTTTCCTCTATTTGTATCTATTTTATGTATCCAATCCATGTTTATACTTATTACCTAATACGTTCTTGATAAATAAATAAATAAATAAATGTTGCATCCTCCATAAAGTGTTCCTTAGTAGGATTTATAATCTGAACACGTACAACTGGAAAATCATGAATATTTATAAGGACTTATTTTGTATCTGTATTGTTTTCTTGAGTCCAAGACTGCCTCTCCTACGGTCTGCTCCTTTTTCCCCGCCTTACAAAGGTGACCTCCTCCTCAGCCATTGCTTTTGTTTCTGTATCTACCTGTAACCTTTACTTCGCTACAATTGCTCTCAGTGTTGCAGAGCTATGTCAGTTTTTTCCCCTTAAAAATTCTTTGCAGGGTATATTATGTTTTGGAGAATGCTGGGATATCTCTGTATTAGTTCAATTACCATTTAAAAAGCAAATGTTTGGAAACATGTTTTGCTATAAGTTAATTAAACAAGGTATCCATTTGAAGCTCCCCTTGAAGAGCACTCAGAGGCTCCAACTGGTCCAGAATGCGGCTGCGCGGGTGATTATGGGGGCGACTCGTCGCACCCACGTGACACCTCTCCTGCGCGAGCTGCACTGGCTCTCAGTGGTCTTCCAGGTGCGACTCAAAAGTGTTGGTTACCACCTTTAAAGCACTCCATGGCTTAGGACCGGGGTATATACGAGACCGCCTTCTGCCATTGACAGCCTCCCACCGGCCAATACGCTCCCACAGAGAGGGGCTCCTCAGGGTGCCGTCGGCCAAACAATGTTGACTGGCGACGCCCAGGGGGAGAGCTTTCTCTGTGGGGGCACCAGCCCTCTGGAATGAGCTGCCCCTAGATGTGCGTATAATCCCCAACCTGCGCACCTTTCGCCGTGCCCTGAAGACCCTCTTGTTTCAACAAGCCGGGCTGGCCTAACATGAATATGAATTTTAATGGGTGTATGTTAGTTTTTAATTTGTGGGCCAAATTTTTGTATATTTGATTTTAATGGTTTTTAAATTTTGTAAATTTTATGTGTTTTAATATGGCTGTACACCGCCCTGAGTCCTTCAGGAGAAGGGCGGTATAGAAGTCTAATAAAAGTAAAAAATAAAAGTAAAGATTAGGTTTAGCCTCCCACACTACTGTACTGCAATATGGTTTTCTGCAAAGCAGGCATTCAATGTCAATAACTTAGCAATTTTATTTCAGTGATATTTGTTGACTATTTTGAATTTTCACAATCAACTTTTCATATTAAATGCAGTGTTTAAATATAGTTTCTGTAAATGTTAATTTATTTCTAGACATAATTCACTATTCTTTTTGTCTGGAAACTTATGGGAACTGTAGTCAGCACACTTGGTGGACACTAGGCTGGGGAAAGCTGGGCTATGTATTTCAAAGTTTTTATTCAGCATCAGCGTTAACTGCAAAAGGGCCTGACTCTTCCAATCTATTCAAAAATACACAATCCGATGTATTTAATTAGAAACATTTTATTGTAAAGATATGACTCAATTTTCTGTGTATTTTGCATTGCAGTTATTAGAACTACTTAGTAGACAATACAGGTGGTCCTCGACTTACAACAGTTCATTTAGTGAACGTTCAGTTACAATGGCACTGAAAAAAGTGACGTTACGACCTTTGCAGCATCCCCACGGCATGTCATCAAAATTCAGAGTTGGCAACCGACTCATATTTATGAAAGTTGCAGTGTCCCAGGGGCATGTGATCACCTTTTGCGACCTTCTGACAAGCAAAATCAGTGGAGAAGCCAAATTCACTTAAGAATTGCAGTGATTCACTTAACAACTGTGGCAAGAAAGGTTGTAAAATGGGACAAAATTCACTTAGCAAATGTGTCACTTAGCAACATAAATTTTAGGCTCAATTGTGATCGTAAGTCAAGGACTATCTGTACCTAACCTAATATGTGAAAGTAGTTTCTTGAACTGTGCAAGTGGGATAGAACCTTTATGGGACAAACTGAAAAGAACAAGTCATCTTTTTTACATTCTTCATATACATATATTTTTATTCTTGTGTCTAACGGAAGTATTTTGAATCCACATCTGAGCGAAATCCTCTATTCAACCTGCGTGTATTAAAATGCGGGGAAAACAAATTTTAACATTGGAAATTACAGAACCAAGGAATGAAATTCAAACATTTACTTGATGATAGAACTGCAGCAACTCCTTGTATTAACACTGTTTAAGTTATCAAGTTTTATTACTATTTAAGACAACTCAGATTATCTTCCATTCACAGAGAAGCATTGAACAAGGTAACAGAAACACCATGCTATAAATAAAAGTTATTGTTTATGAGGAAGCATGAACATGGGCAAAAAACATGCCTATTATGGCATGCAATGACTTGAGTTAGTATTGTACTTTTCTGCAAAGGTGCACCTAGCCACTGTTTTATTGCCTTAAGCTTCTTTTTGAAAATGACAAAGTTTCTATTTCTCTCACTTATTTCACTTTAAATATCACATATGTGAAATTTGGCTGAGGGTGTAATTGGCTTAAAATTATACAATCTGCATGGTAAAGATCTGTCAGAATTCAAGTCGATTTAGTTCTCAGGGTATGATAGATGCAATCAGCAGGATGAGCTAAAGGCTCCACTGTATATAAAACCATTATTTGCTTCTTGTTTAAAAATAGATGCTAACAAGTTTGATAGGAGTCATTCGTTTTTGAGTATCTAATGGCTTACTTTATCTTAAAGCATCTCTGCAGGGTAATAACACCTGTCTTCCCTCCAGCAAAATGTAACCCAAAGTATGTTTTCTTCTGTCACCATGAAGGGAATATATTACAATGGTTCAAAGTTAATGGTTCAATTAAAACAAAGTTTAAATGGCATTTTACTAAATCCAATGTATTTAACGTTTGTTCAGAGGGAAACTAGGATGAATTGCTGCAAAAGTAAAACTCCCTAAGCTTTGCCAACCAGCTAAAAAATAGATTCCACTAAGCAGAAGCCTGCCTTAACAGGCTAAGATTCTGGTACAAATGTTAGTAGAATAGGAAATAATTGAAAGGTATCAGCTCTAATGTGACCTTCAGAAAATAATCCTTGTCCTAAGTGTTTTCTTTTCCAATGTTTCTTCTGTTACAGAAGAATGTCACTGCCAAATTGAATCTATAGAAGTTTTCTTTACAACCAAAACTAGTAAATAAGCACTTCAATGCCCCATACAACTGGTGTGAACATTTTAATTTTGTACACATGACAAGATTTTACACCAAGCAGTCAGTTAAATAGTACAAATTTACATTGTGAGGAATGTTTAAAAAATGCAACTTAAAAAAATTCTTCTGCCCAAAACCCTACACCTCCCCCCAACATTTTACAGTGAAAAAACAAATTCAGTTCACATTCCTGCTTCATCCAAAACACAGGATAGTATTTGAGAGTGCATTTTACAATTCATCTTTTCCATCTGTGGACTCCTGCAAGAAACAAAGCATAGATTAAGTTAAATCTTGTAGATGTGCAGAATCCCCAATAAATCACTTATAGATGTGTTCAACTCCCCCCCCTTTTTTTTTATACAGCATGGTTTAAAAATGGCAACTATCTCCTGCCTGTTCTCACTGTGGTTTCTTCATGAGACAGGAATTTTACAGCTTTCAAGTTTTGAGAGAAGGAGAGTGACAATGATCCAGCAAGTGCAAATTGATTATGACACTGTTATAATAGCCACACATGGTAAAATCAAGTCAACACAAGGCCCAGAATGGTAATGCTGGTGGTAAATATTGTAATGCTTACACCCCAAACGTCTGTTAGCTGAGACAAATTATACAAATAGAAAAGATGGTACCTTATGATACACTTGTTATCGCCCCTCCCACTTCCCCAATTTTTCCTAATCACACTGACCGTTTTCTCTGTTTCACTGTCTTCAGTATCTTCCTCAGCTTCAATTTCCTCTTCTGGTTCTACTTCTTCAACAGTTTCCTCTGGTTCTTCAGGCTCATCTTCCACCTTTTAGAAATATTTAGCAAGACAAAACTTTATATACCATTTGACACACACACACACACACACACACACACACACACAGACTATGAAACCCCTATCAATACAAAGTATGTTTTAGATATTACTACACAACAAATGGGATCATTGTTTCAAATATATTTACCAGATTCCTCAATGCCTTCAATAATGCCAGAGTATAATTTCCATTGCTAAGCAAGGCAGTTAAATTGTGTCTGATTTTACGACCTTTTTTTGCCATAGTTAAATGAATCACTGCAGTTAAGTGAATCTGGCTTCCCCCACTGATTTTGCTTGTAGGAAGCAGTCTGTGAAGATCAAATGATCACATGATCCTGGGATGCTACAATCATCATAAATACTTGCTGATTGCCAGCAGCCTAATTTTGACCGTGCGATTGTGGGGATGCTGCAAGTCATAAGTCATTTTTTTTCAGTGCTGGTATAATTTGAATAGTCACTAAACAAATAGCTGTAAGGTGAGGACTACTTGTACTGAAAAAAATCTTTAAAAATTCAGGGAGATATTCAGAGATGTGTCTGCCTTGAAGATAGCTCCTACCGAACTACACTCTCAAACATCAGATGCTGACCACAGGATATGTTTTTTTGTTTTTGTATTATCATAAAATGTTTTATAAAATTTGCTGAATTTCAATTCCATGGGAGTCAGAAGTCCTGTACTGTGAATGCATTCTGTAAATTATTTGAAGTACTTTGGTTGAAAAGCTTTTGCTCTATGATGCACTGTTTTGCCCAGTTAAAGGTTACAGACAGAAGTTTTAGTATCATAGAGATGTCAACATCATAACTTTAAAAAGTTGTTGAATGAGTGTATTTGTATATCTGCTGAATTTTTAACAAGCCAAATGTTGTGCTGATGTAATTCCAGCAGTTGAATGGGTTCTTCAAGTACAGGATAGTCCTTGACTTACAATAATTCACTTAATAACTCTTCAATAGCTCTTTAATAACAGCACTGAAAAAAGTGACTTATGACCAGTTCTCACACCTATGACCATTGTAGCACACGATCAAACTTTGTATGCTGGCAACCGGCATATATTTACTATACTTGCGGTGTCCTGGGATTGTCATTTGCAACCTTTCTAGGGAGCTTCTAGCAAGCAAAAGTCAAAGGGGCAGGCCAGATTTGCTTAACTACTGCATGATTCACTTAACTGTACTTAACAACCATGGCAAAAAAGTCATAAAATGGGGCACAACTCACTTAACTTCCTTGCTTAGCAAAGGAAATTTTGTTCAATTATGGTCGTAAGTCTTAAGGACTACGTATAAAAAAGAATAGGAATGACAAGCAGACAACATTTTGAATCAGAAGTGTTAACCCAGAAAAAGAAAATGGTCCCAAGAATTATTCTGGCACATTCAACTCAAAACTTAAGTCACGAGTCTACCTCCTCTGCATGTATTACACTATCTGATTTTCACTAACCTTTTCCTCTGGGTCAATGTTCAAACTCAGGCGAAGCATTCGTTCTATCCTTTCTCCATATTCCTTTGTATCTGGCAGCAGATAACCTGATCTTAGGGTAGCAGTTTCAAGCAGAACCACAGCAAGATCTGCAACTACTTGATCATCTTCATTTTCCTGACCCCCCAAAAAAACCAAACAAAACACCACAGAATATTATAGAAATTGTTTAGGAATTTCCAGTTTGAGACTCATCAAAACTCACAGGCTGCAGTGTTAAATTATTTTTTGCGTTTCTTGTCCAAAATTTTAGAAGTACAAAACTATATTAGATTAATCTCTAGCTTTTAATATTCTTACCTGAACACGCCTGAGCATGTCTTTTATGAGAGGATGTTTAGGATTGATTTCAAATATCTTCTTTTGGCTTGCATAGTAACTAAAAAGAGATGACAATTTTAAGGGCAATTAGATATATTCTACTGTCATGTTACAAGTTTTAGAAATAAATTGAGCAAGTTTACTTAATGCTACTAAAGAAAGAACTTCCATCTGACAAATCAGTAATTTAAATGAATACAGAATTGCAGTTTATAGAAAGACGAATTGTTTGGCGCATTTCCATGTAAATTTAGCCACATTAAATGAGACCAACCATAGATTAAGCATTCAAATATTCAGATTACATTATATCACCTACAAACACTGATAATAGAATTCCCAGTTTTTCCCTAGGAAAATTTTTAGTGCAGATTATTGGGGGATCCTCCCTGATCTATCCACATGCATTTAAACAGCATGGATCATCCACTTTGCATAAATTTATTAACTAAGACTTAAATGACCAACTTAATGTTGTATTACATCAAAACCAAACAAATTACATTAGGATCCAAATGAGGCACAGAAATAATTGTATAAATTATATTTACTTGGTAGCGATATCTTTCCCAGTCTGGTAAGCCTGAGCCTTCATGATTCTTTCCATGTTGCCAGACCATCCATATTGACTAGCTACAAGAGCACATGGTGACTGGGTTAATCGCTGAGATAATACTGCTTTTTCAATCTAAACAGAAAGAAAAAGTAGTGTTAAGTACAAATATAGCATACATTTTTGGAAGAATACCAAATTCTAAAATACGTACTTTGTCCTTTAAAGCTTTGTCTTTCATCCAAGTTAATAGGGGTTCATACTCTTTTTCTAAAGCCTCACGAGTTTCCTTTGACTTTTCACTTTCATCGAACTTCACTCCTTCTTTAGCAACATTCTGAAACCTTTTGTTGTCAAACTCTGGGAGAGCCTGAATACAATATTCATCCACTGGTTCTGTCAAATATATAACTTCATAACCTTTCTTTAGAAGCCGTTCCACAAAAGGTGAAGATTCAGCCTACAAGATAAATTCAAAACATTTAGTATGACATAATGCTGTAAAATTTTAGATGGAAACAAATACTGCATTTACCACTGCAAATCATATTTATTGAACAAGATACCACCAATTTTCTATGTTTATAGCTTCAAAAGAATGAATTGGAAATGGTTAGTTAGAAAATGACTTTTTACCTCTTTTCTACTTGAACCAGCCATGAAATAGATTTTATCTTGCTTCTCTTTCATTCTTTCTACATACTGATCTAGACTAGTAACGTTGCTTTCATGATGAGAAGTCTGGAAACGAAGAAGTTTAGCTAGACGAGTCCGATTTGAATGATCTTCAATCACTCCAAGTTTGATATTTGTGCCAAATTCTTTCCAGAATGTGTCATTGTATTTTTCTTCAGCAATCTTTTTGATCATATCAAGTGTCTTCCGGACAAGTTTCTTTCTGATTACCTAAAAATTCAGAAAAAGATATGTAAGAAAACATGATTAATCTTTTGATCCCAGTTTAAATGAACAACATTTTACAATCTGAGCAACTTCTAGATGTACTGACTTCAATTTATGGTATATCTAAATGAGAATTGCTGAGAATTCTAGGAGTTGAAATTAACTTATATGGAAATTCTTCCCTTTTGTGGGAAACATTGCAGGTGAATCGGAGAAAACTAAAACCGTATAATTTGTTGGGCTTAGTTTCTATGTCATAATGTTGGCTCCTATGTACACTCATCCTCCTGTAACAAATGCCTTTAATATCTCGATTGTGCCCAGCAACCAGAAGAATCCATATTCCCCTGGCTATCACAGCATGAGTGGGAAGAGATAACACTGCAATGGTATTATACAAATGACACAACTCATGTACATTTTTCAGGTATTACATTTATTGAATTTATATGCTGCCCATCTCACAATTGAGCAACCCAATTGAACTATACTGTTTGTATTGATCATGATCTTTCATTTTGGTATCAAAGCTGTTATGAACACTGCTGCACATTCCCTTCTTAAACTAATTGAGAATAAAGTGATTCTCATCCTGTTCTTTAGCATGACAAATTTATATATAAGAGAACATCCAGTTTGGCTTAGTGGTTAAAATATCAGTCTAGAAACTAAGAACTGAATTCTAATCCTGACTTGAACATGGAAGCCAGCTAGATGAACCATTCATTCTCAGCCCGACCCACCCTCACAGGGTCATTGTTGTGGGGTAAATAGGATGAGGAAGTATTATGTTTGTTGCCTTGAGACATTTATAGATAAAATCCATTCTAGTACATGGTCTTTTACCATTGTGGTTCTTTAACCAACATATAGAGTAACTGAATCTACTAGGAAGGACTGGATGCTAATGGGGCTTGAAAGATTTCACTACCATTCTTGCTGAGTTAAGTAGGAAGTAGGGAATATAAAAACAGGCCTAGATATTATCCTGAAAACTAGTCAGAAGCTACAATAGTAATTGACATACCTTTAATAGTTTGTGCTGCTGGAGGGTCTCACGAGACACATTTAAAGGAAGATCATCTGAATCTACCTAAATTTAGAAAAAGAACATTTACAGAGGTTTAGCAAAAAATAATAATAAAATGATACATTTTTAAATGGCTAGTGCATATTATCCCTGAAAATACTTACAACACCCTTGACAAAGTTAAGATATTTGGGCATCATATCATGGAAGTCATCAGTGATGAATACTCTACGAACATACAGCTGCAAAACAAAATTTTAACTGTGATTAATTTTTGTAAGACCATATCGGCAACTTCTCTTGCTTTTTAAAGAGTTGGATCTAATTTTTACCTTTATAAAGTCACTTTTTTTGGATCCATATTCATCAAATAAGCCACGTGGAGCAGTACTGGGAACAAATAAGATGGACTTGAATGTTACTTCTCCTTCAGCAGTAAAGTGAATGTAAGTCATTGGATCATCGGTTTCCTGGAAAAAAAAGCTAAATCCTAAGTCCTCACTTCCACAAAGGTTGAAAATAAATGCATTACAAATATTAGTGGCTATTTTACTCATTCTACCCACATATGCATGGTATGGAGAGGAATATTCTTGCTCTTGTTCTACATATGAGGGATGCATTAGTACAGGACACAGCAAGATTAGAACAGAGCTGTTTATATTTGCTCTAATTCTTTTCCCCATACCTGATACTAAGAATTTTGATAGACATGATCCTAGATCAGTCCCAAGCTATAAAGGTAAACCCACCTTAGAAAATGTTTTGTAGAAAGCTTTGTATTCATCTTCTTCTACTTCTTTAGATGGCCTCTGCCAAATTGGTTTTATGTCATTCATAAGCTCCCAATCCCAGACTGTTTTCTGAACCTGCAATACCAAATTCATTCATTTACTCTCTGATAAAATGAAACCATCAGTTTTTGACAAATTAATTGGATGAAATCTAAAAAAGCTATGTTAATTAATTTGATTGAATAATTTTAAATGTTAAGAAATCTTACCGGTTTAGTTTTGGGTTTTTTCTCTTCCTCCTCCTCCTCCACAGCAGCTTCATCATCCGTCTCATCTTTGTCTTTCACTTCTTCATCTTCAAGAGGCTCTTCTACAGTCTCAGTCTACAGAAATATTGCATATTAATTCAAGTAATTCTTCAAACATGTTCTCATAAGCAATTAGGATACATTACTATCATAGGCGATTAATATAAACTTCATTTATCTGAAATAGTATAGGGTTTTCTGCTTGAGCAGAAAAGTTGGACAAAGACCTTCAAGGTCCCTTCCAACTATTATTCTGTTCTGATCTAAACTTATCTTGTACTTTAAGCAAGCATAATCAAAAACACTGAAGAGATATTCCATGTAAATGTCATGTCAATTCATTTAAAATTGATGTACATTTTTATGTAGTTTTTATATAGTAATTGCTAAACTAAGAGTGCTGCATCTTTAAGAAATCATAATTTTTTAACACTACACTGGTAACTGACTTACATTGCTGCAAAATGCAACTAAAAATAATAGGCGGGGTATATGAATCTATTCATATTTTAGATCATGAAAAATTCTTACAAACTTCTCAAATTTCATTTACTTAACTAGTATCCTATTTTTTCCTATCAAAGTTGCCCGATTTGTTTTTCCTTGTGCCAAGCATGGAGAATAATCCAATAATCTTTATAAATTTCATCTCTGAAAACTGATTTTCATAACTAATATATCTTCCACTTTAAACATTAAGCCGATTAGCCGTATTACAAAATATGTACCTTGCTACTCCATACATAAATAGGGAAGTTTATGAACTGGGAATACTTCGTGACCAGGTTTTTAACTGTATCTAGTTCAAGATAATCTGAAGCTTCTTCTTTTAAAACAAGGCTAAAAAAACAAAAAACAAAAAGCAATTCAGTGTTGTATTAACAACTTTGGAAATTGAACTATTAACCTTACAAAAGTTACTGAAAGTGCAACAATGCAAATTATATTTTACATAGAACTGATAAGTTCTACTGCTAAAATATTTCAAACAAAGAGAACTTTGAGATTTCATATACTGTCTGTTCCTTTTATCAAATATAGTTTCATTTGGTGGCAGTAGCACTAACTTCTTTTGTGATACTTTGATATAGATAACAATGGTATGTTTGCTGTATAATATTGAACAAGAAATTTTTACCATCAGGGAAGTTCAGGTTTTAAAAAACCAACAACTGCTAATCTACTTTTTGGTCACAATCAAATCCTTACTTTCCATGGAAGATAATGAAATACAGAGTGGTTCAAAAAATGCAGTAAACTACAAGAAATGGTAACTAAATTCAAAGCCTCCAATAAAGAAAGCTGGTCTTTATCACTAAATCTCTCTACCATGTATAACATAACAACTCCAGGTTGAGCATACAAAAGAATTACTTGCCAGAACTAAAGTTTAAAATGAGAGATTTAGCTGAGATTTTATGTACACTTTATCATTCATCAACAGAGGAAATAGCAATCTATTACCACTGTAGTATACTATATAAAATTGGAATTGTGATACTAGTTATAACTGTAATAGATACAGCTAAAAATATCACCCTAGTTGAGGGATCTTTAATTCAAATTTTAAGTATTACGCAGCACTGAATCTTTCGTTAGAAACTTTCTGTACCTTTGCAGATTTCATCAAAATACATTTCATTCAATAAAAACCAAATAAGTATTTTCATTAATACATAAAAATATTAATAAAAGTTGTAAAACTTACGTTATAGTAGTGCCTCGTCCCAAGGTATCACCCCGAGGATCTTCAATTACAGAGAACTCATTTGAATCAGATTCCCAGATGTGTTGACTGTCATCATTATGCTTTGAGGTAACAATAACCTTATCTGCCACAAGGAAGGCAGAATAGAAGCCAACACCAAACTGACCAATCAATTCAGAAGTTGACTGGTTTTCTTCCTGCATTTCAGTTATTTTATTTAGAAATTCACTTGTACCAGATTTGGCAATGGTACCCAAATTTTTGATTAGCTCATCTTTGGTCATGCCAATTCCAGTGTCTGTAACATGAAGCATATTCTTCTCTTTATCACACTGCAAAACAAAAATAACTAGTTGGATATGAATTTAACATGCCTATTTAAATTGCCAATTTAACAGACATCAATTTTAATAAATAATGCTGTACTATATGTTAAATTGATGGTCTATAATGAACTAAATGATAGACCTGTCATAAAGAAGCTGTTATAGAATAATCTGAAGAAAAAAAAGGGTAGTCTGTTAAATGAATCTGATGCAACAATTTCCTCTCATCTATCCTTTTCTGTAGTTAATTCCTTCCAAAAAATGTGAAAAAGTCACACTTGAATCTTTGCATTAACTACTCCAAATTATACAAAAGATGTATTTAAAACAATAGAAACTGAAATAATTTAAACAAACATTAAGGGAAATCAGTAGTATCTTACCTTAATTTTTACTGTGAGTTCCTCATTACCAGAAAGAGCATTTTCATCAGTCAATGACATCAACCGAATTTTGTCTAGAGCATCTGATGCATTTGAAATCAATTCCCTAAGGAAAATCTATAAGAAATTTTAGAGTAGTCAGACATAACCACAGAAAAATTTGTGTCAAAACTTTTAGAAAGATATATTAAGGCTTACCTCTTTATTTTTATACAGCGAATTGATAATAAGTTTCATCATCCTGTTTACTTCAGCCTGGAAGGCAAACTTTTCTGATTTTTCCCTAAGTTGTTTTATTTGTGATGCATTTAAACCATCCAATTGAATAGATTCCTCTTCCCTAAAGAGAAAAAAAATCCATTTATGTATTATTAATCCTTTATTTTTCAGTAATGCTGGCAAAATAAGAATTTGTTCTAGACTCATGTATGCTTTTGCTATAACTCCAGATGAAGTCAAACACTAGCCTGCAGAAGGATTCCCTTGCTATATGTGAAGTTTACATTCTCCGAAAATAAGACACTGTCTTATATTTTTTTGAACCCTGAAATAAGCGCTTGGCCTTATTGCCCTGCGCTCAAAAGCCTGATTGGGCTTATTATCAGGGATGTCTTATTTTGGGGGGAACAGGGCACTACATTTCAACCTTCTTGGGTAGCTAAGACAATATACCTACTATAAACTATTGTAGCAGGATACATTATTTTGTTTTACAATTAATTTCCATGCAGCTATTTCAACAATTGTATTATGTCTACTGGTAAATTATAATAAATCTGCACACTTTAATAATTGGAAATTCATTAAGATAATGCAAGCAGTAGTAAAAGCACATAATCCTTCTTGATGAATTGGCTAAATTAATGAGAAACACGAATATTTATCTTTCATTTATCAACAAGAAACAATTGCCTTCCTGGAGACTCTATATAAATTATTTATCAAAATTCTTGCAAAGAATTTGGTTGCCTATCCCTCACATAATCAGTTCTCCAAGCACAAAAGCAAATTATTCTGATATCAAAACTATTGTCTATCTGTGAAAATACATAAAACAAAACCATGTTAATTTTCATTGTAGTGTCAATTTCAGCTATTTGTCTTATCCTTTTCTTGCAGCTTGAAAAATTTCAAGGACTTCCATTTTATTTTTCAAACTAATTTTTCCATAATGCATTCTGAATGCAACTATATAATCATTAGGTTTTCATGCAAGCTTTCCTGTATTAAACGTATTTCAGGGAGCAATCTTCTTTTGGAAAAATAAGCATTTTTGTTAAAAGATTTATCACAATAGTAAATTTAACAAAGCACCTACCCTCCCAATACATAATGCCTTACAAAAATGTTTACAAGTTGTTTCATGGCAATTACAGTCCAATTTTCCAAAGTAAAATGGGCAAATGTTTTCCTACAAGATTTCACCAGCATTAGAATCTTTATATAAGTCACCAATATCCCACTAGATCAAAGTATTAGATCTGGATGGCAGGCATCCCTATTTAGAGGCGTGTCTCATTTTAATCAGTAAGTGGGGCATGTGTTTGAAATATGAATTATAAAGCCTCATTTAAGCATTTTAAAAAGCAAACCTCTGAACGACTTCATCATCTGTCCGAGATCCTTCTCTGCTTTTACCCAAATCATCTTCGACAGTGCCATCCACATCAGGTTCATCAGCCTGGGCAGAGGCTGTAAAAATGATAATTTGGATAAGTTAGCTCCGCACCACCATTCAAAGTAAAACTGCCAATCCATGCATACACACACACACAGGATGGAGGATCTCAGAATGCTTAAACAAGAAAGTGCAAAAGAAAATGGTGCAGTTCGCTTTTCCCATCAGAAAGCTGCTGAAAATTAGAATGGGGAGCCAAGCCAGCCGTGTCATTTATAGGGTCATAAACAACGGGGCACCTACCCATTCAATAAAAAATATTTCATAGCAGACATTATGGCGAGACAAGCAAAAAAAAAAAAAGGTGAAAGCCCCTGGAAAGATGAAAGCATGCTTTCAAAACTCTTGTGAATAAGCAAAGTAGACTTTTAAACAGTAGACTTTTAAACAGTACTCCCAGGACAGAAACTAGTCAAGTCTCTTTTCTTAACCCAATAAAGGATGGGGAGGCGTGAATTACACACCATGTGCCAAATTGGACCTAAACAAATCCAGCCAGCATAAATCATAAATCTGACTGACACCAGCGTCCATTCCTGGGACCATTTGGGTAAACTCCCTCTTTCCATCTCCGGCCAGACTCCCACAAATGGAAAGCGGCCTTGCTGGGCTTGAAAAGTTTAGAGCGCTTTGATGTTCAACCTGTTCAACCCGTTACCTTGAGTTCAAAGGATTTTCACGAATGTTCCATGAGTTCAAAGGATTTTCATTAATATTCTTCCAGGAGCCCTTCCCCCTTCCCCCCCCCCCCAACCAAACTACCGGTCCGCCCCTCAGTGCCTCGGCTTTCTCCTCTACCCCGACAGGCAGCACACCTGCGCCTTTGGGACGTCCCTTTAAAAACCCCGCATCCCAGAAACTGGGGGCAATTTCTCAGAAGGGCGACTCCAATTGAACTACCACAGAGCCAGAAATCTCTTCGGGCCGAAGAGGCGCCTCAGTTTTACAATCCCCCCCCCGCCATTTTAAGTTCCTTGTCCCAGAGGAAAAGAGGCACGGAGGAAAAATACCCAACCTCCTCCTTTCTTTGGCGACCGAGGCAATCACGCCAAAAAGCCGTACAAGTGCGGCAGGAGACTCGGCTGAGGTAAAAAGTTGAGGGGAGACACATTCTCTTTTCCCTACGCCACGCAGGGAATATTCCAGAAGCCGCCCCCCACGCGCACTCACCAGCCAGCAGCAGGAGGCATAAAAGGCCAAGTCCCCACAGTTGCTTCATCTCAATGGTGCCCGGGACGGAGAGAGATACAGCTTCGTACCGGCCTTCTACGTGCCTCCAAGGGCAATCAATTAAGTGAAATCTCCTCTCCCTCGCGGGAGCACCTGAGCGGGTTTTAACAGTTGAGCCACTAACCAAGGCCAGCCCGACCCCCAAGCTTATCACTAGCACACGCAGGGGGCGGGGGGGGGGAAGCCTCTCGGCCGCGCCAATCGGAGCGCACCACGCCAAACACAGAGCCAATAGCAAGAGCGGAGGGGGTAGGTGGAGCTATGTTCCTGCCAATCGTTGTCTTCCAGGTGAAGTTTCCCGGCGTCAAAGCGTGGCTGGGCTCCATTGGTTGTTGCTATGCTCGATGGCCAACCACGGTTAAAGGCGGGAGTAGTAGGCCTTAGTTTGACTGTTTTCCATTCATTTTTTTCAAAATGTATCTCTTGGACTATATTGCCAACAGCATGTGATATTAAGTGTGAGACTGGACATCATTTAAAAAAAAATAAGACATGCATGTTCCACTTCTCCCAGAACTTTCCAGAGAGTTAGCAAAAAAAAAAAACCCCACCCGTTACCATGACGACGTTAATTTCCGTTTTTTTATACTCCATGGCAAATGGAAGCTAAAACAGTATAGAGTAGACAGAAATTAGCAAAAGCATTTTTTTATTTCAGGCATTTTTTTTTTCTGACTTTATGGCTGGTGATACAATGGACGCAGCTACATTTTAAGAATTATTTTTTAAAAAGGAATTCTGCAACTTTTCCCAGCTTGCCATGCTCTTCGCGTCATAAACCCGCGCGCCGTAAGTGCATGGGTGCCCCTGGATGACGTCAATATTGCGTTGTATGATGGAAACCGCCTTCGTGTGTTGCATGATGGGAATTGTAGTATCTTCGTGTAAGGACGGGTTTACTACTGTCCTTATGCAGATCGGCGGGGTGATGGGAGTTTTAGGCTATATAGGAAACGCATCAGGTGGGCTGATCCCAAAAATGCTTGAAGAAGCATCTGAAGGAATGAAAAAACTAAAGTGTTGGGCTATGAACTGATTATTTTTATAACAATACTTTACATCTTACATCCTGAATAGCCCTTTGAAGTAGTTTCCAAATAATGTAAGTACCTGTAAATAAAAGGGCAATAAATATTGTTTAAATATTTGTCAAACTTCTAGATTCTATCCTGCAGGACATTTGGTGATAATAGTCCTGCAGGAAAAAGGATTAGAAGAGAACAGGTGAATTGGGGTAGTTGTTGCCTTCATGCTAACAAACACTTTTGATCTTTGTTGCATAGCAAGCATATTAAAGAAATTTGAACACTAGTTTCAGTTTCCAAGTAGCTAACTGGAAAACAATGTTATTTGAACTGTGCTTATCTGAAAGGAAGATGAAACTGTGTCTAAGTTAAAAACTGCTTAAAGAAGAAGGATAGAATAGGGAAAAATTGTGCTACAAGATTCCGAAATTAATTGAACTTTCAATCATTCAAAGATTGAGTGAATCAAAAATTGTTTTATAAGTAGATTAATTTGAAACAAATTAGTCTTCTTAGGTAAATCAGTATGTTAAATTTTAAGATCTGGGGCTTCCAAAATTTCTAGCTACTTAACAGAAAAGCTTTGTATGACTGCATTTTTTCTTACTTTATGAATCTTGAGGGTATATACATAATGGTTATCTTTTGAGAACCGAATGCAATAAAATTTAATTTTAATATATGCTGATTAGTGTACATTTAAAGTTACAATAAAGTTTTTATTCTATTCTGTTCTTTTGTTTGTAGGAAAAAAAGAAGCTATAGAACAATACAGACCCATTACTTGCTCTGTTATTTGAAGAATTGTCTCCTGTGCATCCTCCAACCCAGCCTATTACCCCACTGATAGCAAACACTCTGCTTCTAGATATGGAAAAGAAAAATATGTCAATTGCATCAGGCCACATTGTTCCTAGATTACAAATTGAAGATGACAACCATATTTGAGGCAAGAAAGTTTTTTTAAAATAAAAACCTGGTTTGGAATTATGGAAGAGGATAAGTTATCCAAGGAATACATCTACTGTTGTAGGAAGTTAGCATCCACCCCTCTCCTAGAAGAATGAAATATTTTAGGAAATTAAAAAGGCAGAATATTATATTTCCCTGGAGGAGAAAAGGAGAGACAAAGCAGCTCCCTGCCTCCCCCTTCCGTTCCAAGGTGATAGGATTAAGACATGGCCCTCAGGACATGATAGGATTAGCCCTCTACTCACCTAGCAACAGAACTCACCACATGGCACCTGGGGAGATTATATCATCCAGCAAGATTCAACCAAGTTTGGGACTCAAGGCACTACAAAGTTACCACTGCATGGCCCCATGGGAGTCTAACAACCAGTCAGAATACAGAAAGAGGAAGCTCCAAGGCGGGACCCAAGAGAGGGTATAAATCTCTCCCTCCCTCTTTCTCCTCCCTCCCACCCTCTCTCCCTCCCTCCCCCCCATGTGCTTTTTTTTTGCCCAGGACCTCAAAACCACATGGTCCTGTCCACCATTAAACCATTTTTTCAAGCAGTCTCCATGTTTCCAGTGTCTTTCTCCCCACTTGGAATCCAGATGGACATTTCTTCCAACACTGTGTTAATATCATTCTATCTCTTTTTCTCTGAACACAAAGCATTCTTTTCCCATCAATTTTACTTAAATATCATACTTAATGTCATACTCACTGATTTATTTTGGTGGGAAATAAAGAACCTGTCTCTTGAATTTCACTGAAAAAAAATTCCACTTGTCCATACCTCTAAAATGAGTATTGTAACTACCAGTATATATTATAGAAAATCTTGTTTGTATCATATAGACATTAATAAGATTTAGTCAGATGTTGAAGATTTCAAAATTAAATATAAATTTAATTTAATTTAACAAAAGTTTGACATCAGGACTCAAATAAGGACAAAATAACAGACCATTTTAACTTCCCAGGACATTCCAAAATAGCTTTGAGGAACAAAGAAATTTTACCAGCACAATCAAACTAGAGATTGCTGAGTTGCTGAATGCATTAGCAGATTAAGGCTATCTCAGATGATCTTAAAAAACACAAAAGTTACAATTGTTAATTGATAGGGTACTTGATGTAACCTGCATTTGATAGGATGCTTGATATAACCTGCATTTGAATAACCCCTTTCCTTCTTTTCTGTCCCCATCTCCTGATTTAAAAATGTGTGTGTGTGTGTGTGTGTTTGTGTGTATTGGTTTAGCCATTCAGTGCATCTGATGAAGTGAGCTATTAAAAGCTTACACCTTTTAATAAAATTTCTCAGCCTGAAAAGGTGCCACCAGATTCTCTCTGAGTTCAGGTGACCTGTATAAATAATTCCAATGGTTCATCTAAGAATATTTTAGAGCTCCTAGGCTTCAGAACATACTCATGGTTCAATATGTTGTGTACGAGATTTTCCTATCTATTATTTTTTGCAGTGCCAACTATTAGAATGTCTTGGTACTTTACTTACTAGTTCCAGTGTAGACAGGTGAATTTCTGTTATGAAATACCATTAGTTTTTTATCAAAGTTATTTTCTTAGTTTAAAACAAATAGGAAGAATTTGATTGAGAATATAACTGCATTTTTGTAAATTATGCATCCTAGAGCTGTCCCATGCCCATTAGGTGGAGCCATAAAGCTTACATAGATTCTCCTACGCATTAAACATTGTCAATGGAAGAAGCTACACAAAGTAAGAGAAGTAAGGTGAATTAAAGATTACTGGAGAGGACATGCCCTCTCTCTTAGCCCATAAAGGTATTTAGAATCCCAAAATCTGTTGAAAGGGCAGGGTAGCTGGAAGATGTAGCAGTCTTTTTCTCAACAGAAGAAGGAAATGGGGGATGAAAGATAATACTGAACACTTCATGCATGTACTGTTTGGTTCACCCATAATTTATACTGATAGTGTGGTGTGAATAATATATTGCCGGTTGGTGTTTGCAGTCAAGTGCATGTGGAATGATCAGTATTTCAGCCAGACAGACCTACAATTTTCCAAAATTCTCCATTCCATTCTTTCTGTGTCCTGATTTTACATACCTTCTTACCAGTCAGCATTCCATGCCCATTATAATGCTCTATTTTATTGGCTGTTTTAATTATTTATTAGTTGTGATAATAGCAGCAATTATTGTTATTATTGCTTGTGAAGATCTTATCTTTAAAGTTTTTAGAAGATTTCCCCCAAGTGATGCCTCTTTCTGAGACTTTATTATTTGAGGATGATCACACACCAATTGACCTTGTAAGAGGAGAGCCCTGTCAGTCTGTGGGGACAAACAATCAGGAGTCTGATGGCAAGTTTTATGACCAACAAATGTTATTAAAAGGTATACATTTACAAAAGCTTATGCCATTTACTACAATACAATGCTACCAGTCTCCTGATTTTTTTTCTACATTGGCTGAGTTTACACATTATGCTATGCTATAGTTGGCTTGGCATGATTTGCTGTACAGACCAATTATCTGTGTTCATACATTGTGCTAAGCCAGGGGTCAGCAACCTGCGGCTCCGGAGCCGCATGCGACTCTTTGGGCCCTCTGCTGTGGCTCCCTGTCAGGTGATCCCACCACTGGCTGGTCCGCCCCTCGCCCTCCCCTCCCAGTCACTCCTCGCCTGGCCTGAGAAGGTAAGGGTGACAGTGGGGGATGGAAAAGCAGCCAGGGCAGAGACAGAGAGATACAGAGAGAGGGGAGAGAGAGATATATAGAGAGATACAGAGAGAGGGAGGGGGGAGAGAGGGAGGGAGGGGAGAGAGAAATATGTCAAAAGGATTTTGTGGTTCCCAGTGTTTTTTAACAATTGGTTCTCTGCCCTAATGACCGGCTGGATAGGCGTGGCTAAGGGGGGGTAATGTGATTCGTGGAAGTGAGTGACATCGAGTTGGCCACGCCCACCCAGGTTTTGTGGCTCCCAGTGTTTTCTTTTCTGTGGGAAACAGGCCCAAATGGCTCTTTGAGTATTTAAGATTGCAGACCCTTGTTCTAAGCCATGTGCCATGAGTTATATTCCACAATGGATGTTTTTATATAATATATTAAGCCAAATTCTAGGAGACCTCCTTATGGTTGGATTTTTAGATCACATTAAGCCAAAATATGATGCATGTGGGAGCCTAACTGTTGCAGCATGGAATCTCTGATTTATTATGGTTTATTTTGCAATGCCAATACAGCCAATTGTGATTAGCAGAAAGGTAAACATTACAGTGCCCATGGATACCAATGTACTCCAAGATATCTCACTAGTCCATGTTAGGTTCATTCTCTGATATTTTGAACGCTTTCAATTTAAGAAGTAGAAATAAATAGCTTAACTAGATGTAGAAAAGCAATGGCCTCTAATGTCATATTTATTTGCAAGAGGGCCCATTTTGTGGGGGATCATTTTGCCTGCTGATAAATAGATATTATTGGCCAGGCCTAGCATAGTTACCATTTTGAGAATAGATAGTCTCCCATGAATGTCATATTGTGAGCCCTCAACTTGTTACCCAATCATGGTGGCTCTGGCTTGCCCTTATTATAGCACCATGTGTGAAGGTAGCTTATGTTAAAGAATAACGTCAATAGTTTTGGAAAATAAGTTTGCTTAAGTGCACAATATAGAATTCAAAGGCTCATATGTCTCAATTATATTGTTTCTTGCTCTTATACCAGTCTGGGTTTTTTTTTAGCTACGGAGGTTCAAGATGGCAAATATTATTGTTCTGCAAGCATATTTGGCGTAATTTTATCCAATTTGTACTTTATGTCAAAGTAATAGATTTAAAGCATGTAGTTTTACATAGGATTTTGCACACCTTTCATTTTGCTTTCTTTTTATGGATTAAATTTGGATTCTGCTGATTCCAACCAACCCTTGGCTGTATGAAGCTGTTTAGAGAACACCATGGATAATTCTACCATATTTGGGCAGCAAAAATCCAGATGTCCACTAGAGGGCAGCACAGAGTTTTCAGTGTCTCTTTTTGCTTTCCAGCCATCATCTGGATTTCTTTGGCTGAGATATGGTAGGCTGACTACTTAAATCCTGAATCATTTGTATTTGTAGACAAATGGGAGAAAAATGGGAAAGGGCAAGAATAGCAGAGGAAAAAGAATAGGTAAAGTAATGGACAAACAACCATTTTATGATTTTTTTTCCTGTTCACATTTTATGTATTGGCCATTAATCTTTGGTTTGATTTCTGTTCCAAGGAGAATAATTTAGTGGATTAATTTGTGGAGGGAAATTACACTTAAAACTCTGTGCCTCTTCTGGCATTGAGAGTTATTTGCCTGGCTATATGACATTATTTAAATCATACTTGGAACAGCCTGTTCTAACTAGCTGTATCTTTTTAATTTAGTGATATAAATTCTGGAAGTAAATTATATTAGAATTATATGTCTCTTCTTCCATTAAGGGCTATTTATGCAGTTAATGCATAATTCTAATTCCATCCTCAGTGAAGAACGATTGGAATACATTGGGATAAGTAGTTTGCAACCAAGATGATTAGATATGATTGTGTAGACGTAAGTGTAACAAGCCTTACTGGAAACCAGATGATTAATAGTCATTGTAAGGTTGGAACCATTTATAGCATTAGATTTACCATGTTTTACCATTTGACCTGAAAAGTATGCTAAGAAGCATGACATCTGTAAAATCTGTTGACACAGTATTTTGGTTTTCTAGAATAGAGTTCAGCTAAGCACCTGACTTCACAGGAGGCTTGTTGCCAATGAAAAAATATTTTGTAAACCACCAGGAGCCCTAAGATTGTGATGATCTAAAAATCTAATAAATAAAAAATTACATACATTAAATTTCTTCATTTCCATACTGCTGTATATAGAATTGGATTGATAAATCCACCTAGAGTTAGCCTATGGTAAGATAGGCAGTCAATAAATTTTATAAAATTAATGAGTACTAAATTTATGTTGGTTTATCTGATTAAGGATAAAATCTTACATATAGTATGTTTACCTGTGAGCAAACCTTGCTGGGCACAAGAAAACGTATTTTTGAAAAGTCATACTCAGAGCTGCATGGTTTTGTTGGCTAAGAAGTAAAAATGTTACAATGAGGTACAGTATGTTTATTCCTATGTATGAATTTCAGTTTTCTGTCTATCGGCTATGAAAACATCTTAATTATTTTAAAACTATAGTCATACTGAGATCTGAAAATAACATCCATTGCTATTTATTTTTTTCAGTCCAGATATTTGGACATGTAAAAATAAATGCAGGTTTATTTTTCTTAAGTAAAAACTCCACTTATTCTCACATCCATATATTCCTTGCAAATTCAAAACCTAGCTGGCAAAATCAAGTTTGAGCTCCAGAAGAAAGGAAATGGGAGAACCACACAGAATGTTTTATCTCTGTGATAGTTCCCAGTGATTATGGGTCCCATACAATCTTGCATTTTCAAACAGCTTGTCCAGTCCATCAAAGTTTGGCCATTCTGGCACTTCCCTCATATATGCTGGTACTTTCTCACTGGAATGTAATTGCAAGT